ATCCGTTTAATTTATGAATATATCTCATGCATATGTTCATCTACATCAGCATAGCAGTAAAAAAAAAAGATTCCATGCTTTCTGAGGCTTGAGCCCAAATGAAGCAGGTAAAGGGAGAAAAGCTGGGACCCCAAAATAGAGCCCTGTGGAACCCCAAAAGACAGAGGAGCAGTAGAGGATTCAAACCAGCTATGTTGACACACTTGATTCTGTCTGAATATACTGTATGTGTGTGTGCGTGCATAAATGTATGTGTGTGTATATTTATAAATGTATGTACATATGTATGTCCACACATACATATTGTCATTGTCATACATATATAATACATATAGTCTTGTAAAGAATGCAGTGACAACATGTTTGAAGAGTGTTGCCATTACAAAACACAGAGGGACACATTATATGTTGTTACAGTGTGACTCAGGAACATCTTCATGTTCCTGGAGTCAATGGGTGCAACAGGTGACAGGATGACAAAAACATAGTTAACATTCATCATTTAGGGTGTGTCTTGAACCTTGTTTGGACAGTAATTTGTATCTATGTTAAAGGGATACAATCCTTCTAAGATGTATAACTGAAGTTAACAAGGGTTGTTGCACTTACATAAAATTAATTTGTTATGTTTTTATTGTTAGAGTCCCCTCAAGTCTTTTGGGGATTGGGTAACCCCTCTGGTCAGACATGAAGAAAAGAGGAATGTCGAGTGACATTTTAAATCAACAACATGCACTGAAGTTCTGTTTTGTGGTCAGCGTCACAGCAACTCTGAAGCTGCAGCTTCGAGTGCATCTTGTCAGCGAGGGCATCTGATGTTAAACATCTGACAAAACATTCAAGCAAGTTGGCTCGCTGTGGTGACCCCTGAACCAGCTAACAAAAAACAACAATTAAGATCTGTTTTATGGTGCAAATGACAAGCAGAAGTCCGTGAGATGCATGTTGAAAATGTGACTAAAGAAGATTTACATCTATAAACAAAGAGATTTAATCTGTCAGAGCTTGTTGAGTGCAGGCTAAACTCATTAATCCAAAAGAGCTAAGTTTAAGGTGCATTTGATCAACTATAACTCACAGATACACATAAAGATGAGAAATATCCTCAGCCCAAAGAGAGCTGTTTGATATGACATTTCCTGAATGCCTTTTTATGTCAGCTTATTTAAAAAAATCTAGCATTCCACTAAATGTATTTCTTTTAAATGTTGCATCTTATCTGTTAAAATCTTGACATGAGTCATGTTGAGCCTGATGAGGAGATGCAGTTTGTCTTTACACAATCAGATGGATCGTAGATCAGATGAGTGTGCAAAGTAACACTTGAAGAGAAATGAAAGGAGAATCTTTGTGTAAAGAAAGAGTGACAGGAAAATAACAGTAAAAACAGTTAGAGCAGTTGACCTCTTGATCCTACGATCAAACATCATCCACAGCGAGTGATGCTTGAACCAACAAATACTCATGAAGAACTCATTCATTAGAAAAGTCCTTGAAGATGACAAGAAGCTCCCGTTCTCCTCTTCGTGGTGACACGTCCAAAAGGGAAATGTTGTTACCTTTATAATTATGGATCATTCGCTCACAGGAAAGTTCCTGTGTGTCTCTCACCCTTGTGCTAAAATGTTATAACTGTAATTGTTGGTGAGAATTGTGACTGCTGACTACAGGAGGGAAAAACTCGGGTCAAATCATGAGAGATGGTGTGGTGATAAGAAAACGTAAATCTCACGTTTCCATGAGACAGGAACTTGATCATCTGTACACGCCGTGCAGGTTGTTTTTCCATGATGGCTTTTCTCGTTCCTCCTCTTCAACATTGGGTTTTTGAAGCCTGCGATGCTCACTGAGCGTTCATCACTTGGGGCTTTCCCATTTCTAGTTTCTTCAGAAGCAGAAAATAAAATGTTTTGGTGGGCGCATTTAGATTAGCCTGAAATCCATCCATCCATTATCTTTTACCTGCTTCTTCCATTTTAGGTCACGGGGGTCGCCGGTGCCCATGTCCAGCAATCACTGTGCGAGGGGCGGGGTACACCCTGGACGGGTCGCAAGTCCATCACAGGGACACATAGAGACAAACGAGACAAACAACCATTCACTCTCTCACTCACACCTAGGGACAATTTAGAGTTACCAATCAGCCTAACATGCATGTTTTTGGTCTGTGGGAGGAAACTGGAGTACCCGGAGAAAACCCACGCATGCACGGAGAGAACATGCAAACTCCACCCAGAAAGGCCCCCGGACCAGGATATGAACTGGAAACCTGCTCGCTGAGAGGCAGCAGCTCTTATTTAAAACTTTACATCTAGTTCCTCTGAATAAGGACAACCAGTCTAAAACCAGTGTCCTCAACAGCAGGATGCAAGGTCTTGAGGTTATATGTATAATTTTAATTTTATTTATTTATTTTAGAAATGATAAGAGAGGACAAACTTTAATAAATGTGACCGCATTTTTCTCAATAGGTAATATCATGTCTAAGTAAAAAGAAAACAAAAAAAGTCAAGGAAACATATTGTAGGTTTCCATTGATTGAAGCTTGACGCTCTCATCTTTAGCACCATGCATTAAAAATTCCACCGAGTCCTTAGTGAAGACGAACACTTTACTTATTTTGCAGAAATCAAAAACTTGTACAAAATTTAAGAAAAGGACAGTGGTGGAAAAAGTACTCAAACACTGTACTTAAGTAAAAGTACAAATAAACACACAAAAATGTACTCTAGTAAAAGTAGAAGTACCACATTAACATTTTTACTTAAATAAAAGTAAATAAGTACTTGCTTTTAAAATACTTAAAGTATTAAAAGTACAGTAAAAGTACTTCCTAATTACATAATGCAATGGTCTACATATCTTTAAGTCTGCGTACCATATGTATATTTTCTGTAATACATTAATAGTGTTGAGCCATTTTAATGAACGATGCTGCAGATAATACATGTTTTTATTGTGTTTACTCTGTGACACAGTTCACACTTGGACTTGTGATTCTGTGCGTCAGAATTTCAGGGATGGCATGCAGAGTTAAATGTCATTAATCAAAATAAGAAAGAGGAATGATTATACCTTTGAAAGTTTTTATTTAACACAAAGTAAAACCAATGTGTCATTTTAACTTCAGTAAACACATTAAAGTAAAAGTTGTCTGATGAAAAAAGGAGCATTAGACACAACTAACAAAGGAACAGACTCTGATCAGTTCAACTCCAGTTTGTCATCAACTCCAGTTAAAATACTGTCTATTCAACCTTGTAATGGGTCAATATTGAACAATATTTTAACTTCCTGACACCATTTTAAAAACTTGGACCCGAGTGTCGAGACATTTGGAGACATCTCTTCTCTCCTAACATCATGAACTGACACATTTTAATATTGCAGCAAGAATTTCTTGTTAAAGTTCAGAAGAAGTTGGTTTTCAAAGATTTTTGAGTCCAGTCTGGTTCTTTTGGGAGAGAGAAGCTGTCCTTTTTGTACTGAGCAGTCTTTCAATAAGGACATGGGTGGAGCATATCTTCTGGATGACTCTCTTGCGGTGGAATCCATTTTGGGTGTGTTAGTGGTGCTGTGGGTGCACCCAGCTCATTGGCATATATACTAGAATAAAAAAGTCATTGACCCAGCTCTTCTTGAAGGCGGGCCTAACGTTACCTGCCCACTTTGCAGTGATTCAATGGACCAACTCCTCTCTCACCATTGGTTACTTTCAAAGTAACAAACAAATCAAAAAGCTGCAACATGAATGTAACTTGTAATGCAACGCGTTATAGAAATGTAGTGTAGTAGAAAGTACAGATACTTGATGTAAAATATAGTGGAGTAAAAGTATAAAGTACCCACATTTAACTCTACTTAAGTAAAGTACAGATACATGAAAAATGTACTTAAGTACTGTAACAAAGTATTTGTACTTAGTTACATCCCACCACTGGAAAGGAAACTAGAGAAACATAGAGGGAGAGTTCAAAAAACAGCGTGGCTCCACTCTGCTCCACCTGACTGCCAATAAACCACCCCCATCCCAATACAGGTAATCATCAAAACACCCAATTTTACACTGCTACTGGAAGATAATATCTCAGAATCTCTAATAAATCCTACATTTTAATCACTTTATCATTACAAAAATAAACTAAATATCACACCTGTATCTTTATAATTTTAAATGAATCTCGGTGTATCACCTGTGAACTCAAAACTGTACAGTTACATTTGTGAACCCACATGGCCACCCCATTAAAGAATTTCTAGAGGTGCTACTAATCTCCACAACGATGCAATATTGGTAAAATGTTTGTTGCTTTCCTGTCATCGCATGGCACTTGTTACACACTCACCCTCAGAGGTGATGAGTGGATTGCATTAAGGGGTTCATGATCGTCTCTGTGGGTGCCCCCTTGTGCTAAATGAGCCTACAATGAAATTGCTTATGTTGCATGTGAGTGTGTGGATTTCCAGTCTGGTTTCTGTTGTATAAAGACAAATAAATAATATAATTTTTATTTACAGAACATATTTCACACACACACAAACAAATGAATACTTGAGAAATGTTCCCCCAAATACTAAAACCCTCATTCTTTTCCCTGGAGTCTGCTGGTATTTATGATTAAAAAAAAAGGTTTAATAGTTTTTATTCGTTTTCCTTCAGTGCTTTCAGCGTGATGGTGAGTCCTCCAGCATCACAGAGCTCAAACTCCTCCACCATCGTTTCATCGTGTAGCTGCTGAGGACCAGCAATAGACTCTGCGATGGCTTCATGCTCTTCTTTCTCCTCGTCTTCCTCAAAATCATCTGGGTACTCCACCTCCTCTGAAAGAGAAAGAAAGCACTGATGGTGAAATAATATATGTATCTCATATCATTACCAGCAGTCTTTGTTTTAGCATTACAGTCATGTGAACCCCCCCCCCACACACACACACACACAGACACACACACACACACACACACACACACACACACACACACACACACACTCACACACATACACACACACTTTTTGTGTTCACTTCTAGGTTTTAGTATCAGGACATACTGTAGTAGAAAAGATCCAAAATAAAACACAACTGATGCAACTATGATATTATTCATTAAAAATAAAAACTACCGCTAGGTTGCTGCCCATCAATCTGGGGAGGGTTAAATGTAATTTCTAAAGAATTTTGAATCCAAAATTCTCCAGAGAGAGAAAAAAATAATAATTCACACATGGGAAGCTACCAATGTTCCTACAAATGGAGTCCCAAATTCACCCCATGGTCAGACAGTGCAATGCTCAGAGAAATGACAAGACATCCGAGAGCTCCAAGCTTCAATCAGCAGGTTAAAGGTTAAAGTTCATGACGGTAAAACAAAAAAACAACTGAACACGTGTGGCTCGTTCTGAAGGGTTGCAGGAGAAAGTTCTTCTCAAACATGGCAGAGTACGACTTTCTAAAGCTGCATCCCAACAGAACACAAGATGTCTGGAACGATGCCCTTTGGTTAAATGAGACCAACGTAAATATGTTTACCCACAATGCACAGCAAAAGCATCTGATACCCACTGTCACACACGGTGGTGGAGGGGTGGTGATTTGGGCTTGTTTCACAGCTGGACCTGGACACCTTTCAGTCACTGAGTCGACCATGACCTCCTGAAGTATTACAGAGTCAAATATGAGACCATCTGTCCAACAGCTGAAGCTCGGCGCAAACTAGAACCGAACTTGCAACAGAACCAAGAATCAAGGTGCTGCAGTAGCCCAAAGTCCAGACCTCCACCTGACTGAAATGCTGTGGTGGGACCTGAACAGAGCTGCTCAGGAACAAAGCTGATGAAATGTAAAGAGGAGAGGGACAGAATTTCTCCTGTCCGGTTTTAGAGAAAGAAAGTCGTAACAGGAACATACTGTTGAGAGTGACTGCTATTAAAGGAGGTTCTACAAGATGTCAGCGTGTGGGCTTGATGTTTCACACAGCTTCTGTTTACCAACATGGAGGAATCAGTTGTGTATTTTTGCACAACTGAGTTTAGATTTGAATCATTTAAAACCCGACAAAGACCGGATCATTAGTTTTACCTCCTGGTGTGTGTATTCCCCAAACAGAAAGAGGTTGGACTTTCTTTTTTCCCATAATTGTGCATGATTTTAACGTTTGGTCCAAATGGGTTCTAAATGTAATACTTGCTTTACCGTAACGTTTCCGGATTTGTTTGTAACTTTTACTAATCGGAAGAAACATGCAATGAAACAAACAGCAGATTTGTTGTGAACAGTTGGCGGCTTAAACTCAAGAAAAAGTACAAATTCAGTCGATTTAACTTGACGGGGTTAAACAGAAAAAGTGAATTTCAGCCACCTAAGATAACTCAAACCTCAACATTTTCACAGCGGTTCAAGTGAACGCTTTATTATCATTTTTACACCGTGACACTTTTACATCGGTTATTCACAAAGACTTGTAGTTATTTAAACTGTGGCCCTATGTTTCATACATGTTGAAAATAACGTGTGCATGTGCACCAGACATGATGCAAAACTAAAGCAATATAAAAACACATTTTACAGTGTTTGTTGAACTGCTGTGAATTGGATTAATTCTGAGTTGTTTCAGATGCTGGATCTTATTATTAGTATTAAAGCAGCTCTCTTCTGTTAGCTTGATTCCAGCAGGAAAACTTCTCCCTGGTTTTACAAACTGGGACCGTGCTGGCTGCTGTCCACTGCAGGTAAGATACTGACTATTCAGCGGCACTGCACTGAACCCCACGTCTAAAAAAAGCGATCCATCAAATTGAGGAGTTAAAACAGCGTTTGCTGATCAGTGTGTTCCTCCGAAACTGCCACTGCTGTTCACACGATGACAAAGCACAAAGCTGTGGCTCAGGAATGTAGGCAAACACGTTATAGTTTAGTGTGATGTGAAACATGACTACAAAGTTCAAAGAAGAGTGGAGTGAGTTCAAAGCTTGTAGTCTTGTCATGCTGTCTGTTTAATATTTATTTGTATGTTTATCCAGAAAAGTCTCATTGAGATACGACATCTCTTGTGGTCTTCATGTTCGGTAAAAGCTTCATTTCAAGACAGATTTACACACGGATACAAAATGAAATCAAAGGCCCAAAGTTCACGACCTTTCAGGGCAGTGATGTTTGAGAAATGACTATCAGTTTGGATCAAACCTTAAAAATAAAAGTATTGAGATCTCATCCAGTGTGTTAGTGCTCAGATTATGTGATGTGAACGACTCACACACACTTTAACGCGTCTGCTTAAAGAAAATAAATCTGACTGAGTTACAGCTCACTGTTATTTAGATCAGCTGGTTGTGGCAGCCGTTTAGAATGGGGTTAATGTCAGACAAGTTTTGGTCAGAGGTTATGGATGTTTTTGTTACGGAGAATCTTCTCTCTGCCCATGGACCATATGTTTGGGTTAGCACAGAGAGTTGGGTGTGTGAACTCGGCTGAACAGATAAGGACATCAAAGCAAGCGCAGAACGCAGGTTCTCTTCATGTGTGTACATTTATGTGTATTTATGGAACCTGTCCTGAAAATCTGGCCTGACAAGTAAAATCCTGGTTAACAATCTTCTCCTGCTGCAAAGTGTGGTTCTTTCTGAGTAAACAACGTACGCGAGAGTATTCATCTTCAACATTTAATGTGTAGATGTACATTCAACCATTTCTAAACATTTTATTAAAATCCATTCAACGTTTCATGAAATATTTTCCTGACAGAGTTGACTCCAACAGTTAATGGGACATTGTCAATACCGATCTTGTGTGATCCGTTAGCGCGTGTTGGGGATGACTCTCGGCTACTACCAAACTGAATTTTTCAACGTCTACTAAAGTGACTGAGTTACGACCATGTACTGTATGTTTACTAAAGACCTATGGCTGTGGCGGCCATCTTTACTTGGCTTGACTCCATAGTAAATCAGTTGCAGATGTACATCTGTGGATTTTCTGAGTTTCATTCATATCCATCAAGTGGATCAAGAGTTATTTTGCTAACAGACATGCTCACAGGCAAAAGGTGCATAATCACCAGCAGGCCATATTTTGAACAATTTTTAAGTGGTTCTTAAAGTTTTCTCAAGAAATTAACAGTTTCAATTAGAGACCTGACATGAAACTGTTTCCAGACTCATCCATCATCTTCTAAACCAGGGCTATTTAACTGAGGGGGGGGGGGGGGCAGTTACTGAAAGCCAAGAGCTCGGGGGGGCGAACATCCAGCAGTTATTCTCGTTAATTAAGGTTGTTTTATGATTTAAAATCAAGTTTTATTTTAAAATGAACCCAATGATGGGCCGAACTGAGGACACCCGTGGACCTGATTTGGCCCCTGGGCCGCCAGTTGAATAACCCTGTTCTAAACTCACATTGGCTTAAACGCTTGACCTTTTACATGATCACCCCTGTCAGCACTGATAGGACGTCTCCCTTCCCACGTCCAGCTCAACATACCTGCTGACTCAGCAGAACTTCTCTCTGAGGGCTCAGTGGTGTCCTCTAACGAAGACGAGCTTCCGTCTTCATCGAAATCTTCAGTGTAGAGACAGTTCATCTGTCCACTCAGACCGGAGACGTCCTCCTCCTCCATGACGGAAGAGCCGGACTCGTTTATTTCCCACAAGTGGTCCTGACTGAGCTCATCAGGCTCCAGCGGTGTGTAAACATCTGCACGTTTGTCTGTCTGTTGGTCTTCAGCAGCGTGGAGCTGATCGTGCACGCCTGCAGCTGTGAGTATGCAGGCAGCGCTGGGCCTGGTCTCTGGGTCCAGACTGAGCATGGAGCGGACCAGAGAGGAAACGCTCTCTGAGAACATGTCCGGTACGGGATCATGCTCTCCTCTGGTGATCTTAAGGAACAGGCTCAGCAGGTTTGAAGCTATGAAAGGGGGTTTGAGGGCACAGATCTCGTACAGGAGACAACCAAGAGCCCAGATGTCTGATTTCGAGCTGTAAGGGACGTCCCGGCAGAGCTCAGGACTGAGGTAGCTCGGTGTCCCCACACAGGTGGACGCCAAGTCTGCAGTGTGGGTCATTATCTTGGAGATACCAAAGTCCCCTAACTTTACCAGGCCCTGCTTTGTGAGCAGCACATTGGAGGTTTTGATGTCTCTGTGCAGGATTCTGGCTGCGTGGATGTAATCCACAGCCAGGGTCACCTGCGCAAACCACCGCAGGACGGTGTCCTCTGGGAAGAACTCCCGCGCTTTCCTCGCTTTCACTTTATCATCCAAGGTTCCTCCATCGCAGTAGTCCATCACGATGTAAACGAAGCCGTCAGCAGGGTTCACGAAGGCATCCGTGCACGTGACGACGTGGGGATGCTCCAGCCTCCGGATGATGTCCGCCTCCTGGAGGACGGCTCTCTGCGTGCGCGTCGTCCTCGTTGCCATCTTTATCCTCTTCACTGCGCACAGGCTCTTCCGCTGCACGTGCCGCATGAGAAACACATCTGCCGCTCCGCCGCGGCCCAGACACAGAACCTTCTCGAAGTCCTCCATGTCTGCTTCGAGCCCCGTCACTTAAGAAAAGGTCGCGGGGAGAAGCACAGCGACTGCTGGCCGTTTGTGTTCACCGCCGTTACCATGGTGACAGACCGAAACCGGATAGCGGGGCAGTGGTTTAGTGGTTTCACATTGTCGGAACTTCTTTTTAAGAAGTTTTTTTATTTTTTTTTATTTATCTTTCTGCTGCTTAAAATGCAACATTGTTTTTAGAGCAAGTCAAAATGTTTGTTTGCGTTAGTCTTTATAAAGTTAGAAGTTATTCTTAAGTCATCATTTTAGTTGGTAATAATTAAGTTGAATAAAATGTGAATATATTAGAAGCGACTAAAAACGTGACAAAATATTTAAAGGCCACCCTGAACAAAAAGTATTATATTTTTGAAGTTTATTTTTGCAAGTATACTTTAAGTTAAGTATAAGTATATCAAGTATACTACACACCACTTGTAGTGTACTAGAAGTATACTGATTTAATACTTGTTTGGACTAAATTGGGACATTTTTATACTATTTTTTAAGTATATCAAATAAGTTTATAAAAAGTAAACTTCAGGTACACTTCCTCATTTTTAGTGTAAAATAATACTTGTAGTAAAAACTACTTTTTGCTAAGGGCATATTATTATATTATCGAGCCTAATTTTACCAAACTTGTCAGCATGAGGCTTCAGAAATCAACTTTTAATATTGATTTGGACAACATGAGCAAAATTAATTGTTTGTTTATTCGTTTTCAATCAAAGTTAAACATATCAATAATAATGAATTACACTACATAAATGCCAATAATTTAAGAAACTCTTAATCTATATAAAGCTGTAATATGATCTATGTATATTCTGATGTCATAATAGAACAAGCTGAAGCATTAGAGTTTACAAGGTAGAAAAAACAGGCATCGTTGAAGGATAAATGAAGTGTCCACTCAGCAAATCTCAGGAATAAAAGTCATAAAATTATCTCATAATGCCAGAACGTTACCAGTTTTCTGAACTTTAAAACTGTGGACCAAACAGGCAGAGAAATAAAACTCTGATTTTATTGGGGGTTTTGTCTGTTTTATTTATTTTTAGGAAACTCTACTTTTTAAATTTCTCATTTGAAGAGCTTTCTGTGAACATGCACGGCCTTAAACTGCACCGAGCTGACTTGTTAATGAGAGCTGAACTCAAATGAAAATCACTCTCAGACTTTACAAGAACTTTGTTTTTTAAGTTTTGCCATTACCTCTTTGCTGCCAACTCTGTCAGAGTTAGATATTTATTTTTTTGGTCACTCACACCACACGAGGTGCAACAAAATTGTGTACACAGGGTCCCAGACAGTTACATCTAATAAAAGTATAAAATGTAAAAGAAAAACATTAAAAAGATTGAAGATATTAACTAAGAAAAACGTTAAACTAAATATACACTGAGCTCTAGTACAAAAACAATGCGCTGAACAGCAGCACGAACTGTGTGAGCAGATGAGAACACAGCAACATGAAACAGATCAGCAGCAACATGAAACAGATCAGCAGCAACATGAAACAGATCAGCAGCAACATGATGTGATTTTTCACAGTGATTATTCTGGTTAGAGATTCATGAGTCTAACAGCCTCAGGGTAGAAGCTGTTCCTCAGTCTAGTGGTTCTACACTTAATGCTCCTTAACCTCCTGCCTGAGGGGAGTGGGGCAAAAAGTGTGTGTGCTGGGTGAGTGAGGTCCTTCATGATGCAGTTGGCCCTCTTCCTGCAACTGGAGGTGTAGATGTCTGTGATGGTGGGGAGGCTGACTCCAACAGATTTCTGTGTGTCTGTTAGCAAAATATCTCAGGAGGAACCCGGGGCCGCTAGGTGCGTTCGGAATGTCGATGATCAAAGTGTCCTGCAATTCACATTAGTTCTCGCAGCTAGCTGCGTTCTTCATCGACGCACGGGCCGAGTGATCCACCACTGAGAGTCGTGCCATTATCAGTGGACATACATCTACAAGTGATTAACTTTTATAGTTGATGTGACTCAAGATGGCTTGCCCAGCTAAATGACATGGAAATGGCTATAATGTAACTTTATGATTATAATAAGTTGGTCTTTGTCTAAAATTAGTATGAAAGTTGGCATTCCTTCAAGAAATGTCTTGGATTTGATGCTGCAGTGACGGTTTCACTGAAATTATGCCAAAAACACAGTTTTGCTCTGAAAAACAGACTTCAGAGCCAAGTAGTAGAGTGCAACAAAACATTTCACCTGGAATAATATCATCAGGCAAGGGTGCAGTCAGGAATCACGGTGGTATCCAGCATGACTGGCTTGAACTTCTCAAGGACTAAAGACAGCAAACGGAGCGTGCAGATGGTGATTGGTGCACAAAGTGTTTTGATTACATGCACACACAGAGATTACATTTGCTGATCTTTACCTGTGACTATACAAACATACAGGCTGACAAAACAGGAGCAGGCTGCAGAACTGAAAGTCACTTTTCGCATATGTGATTTTTCTAAAAGTAGTCCGAGCACTGATGTGTATGTGTGTGTGTGTGTGTGTGTGTGTGTGTGTGTGTCTGTTCAAGTGATGCTCTGAACCTTTGAGTCACAGCTGGTGGTCAGAGCTCAGGAAGTGAGAAGCTGCATTCGAGCTGGAAGCCGGAGCGCTCCAGCTGCATACAAAAATAACCCAATCAGTTTGTAGATAAGAGGTGATTCCATGCACCACATAAAAAAGCACAACGTGATGATGTCCTCATGAAGCTTCATCGTAGCTAAGATGCAGCTTCATCCCTGTATGTTCCTGAGTTTTGACTAAATGTTATAACATGAATCACTGCTTTCATTTAGTTTGACTGTCAACTCTCTGGACTGACAACATCAAAATGTGTGTGTGAATGGTGAAACACCCACACCTGCCTCCACCCTCATTTGCCCCACTCTGGGCCCTTGAGCAAGGCCTTTAACCTCCACCATCTGCTCCCCTGGGTGCTCTAATTGGCAGCTCTCTGCTCCACACAGAGGGCTGTGGGGCATCCGGCGTAGAAACAACTGCTAATACTTTGTGCGAGTTAGTTTGCTGTGGCGAAACCTGAAGAAGGGAGCAGCCGAAAGAAGAGATCGCAGAGAGAAAAACAATCCTCGTGATAATAGTAGTCAAAAAAATCACCAGAGAAAAAGCAGAGAAGTAAGTAATAAATAGCAGATCACATTCCATCAATAATAATAAAAAGAAACAACTGCTTCACCAAAAAAAACCTACTAGATATTATTTTTTATAATGTCTCTAAAATGGCAACAACACTTTCAATTCATTTTAAATTAGAAAAACTAACGTAATTGAGCTTCTTCTTCTGGGCCTGCATGTATAATTTTGGAAATATTGTTTTTCTGTTGATTTTGCATAAAATTATATGCTAACAAAGTAAAAATATATATTATGTTTAAAATAACACATTTTTACTGTCAGGAGTTTTTTTTAATTATTATTAATATTAGTCGAGTGATTTGTTTTTCAGTTTTACATTACATTAGTTGTATTCCTTCAGCTGTGCAGTGTGCACCGAAGTGGTCGCTATAATGCTTTTGTACAGTAGGTGGCAGTGGAGAATTAACCTAGCTGCGAGTTACCATCAATAAACCAACGAAGAAGAAACAACTTGGATTACTGCGCATGTCTGTTGTGGTCCCAATCGAAATTATTTCAATTTTCTGTCTCGTACATTAATCAAAATGCCACCAAAAGGAAAGGGTGGGAAGGGTGGTAAAGGTTAGTGATCCATAAGATACATACTCGTAACAAAATGTTATAATGTGTGATGTTTTAGTTAACAGCTTTGAGTTAGCGTTAGCATACAGGTACACACGTTTATTTCTTGCACTGTAGTTTGTTGTACTGTTTATTGACATTACGGGGGTAAACTGTAGGTGCTGCTTCTGGAAGTGCAGACGCTGAAAAAAAGGAAAAGGCACCAAAAGGAGGCACTTCTGTTAAGGTAAAAATAATAAACTACACGCTAGCTTCAGCAACTTTGCAGAAATATCAAATTTTGACAAATATATTTTTGTTTGCGGAGTTATATTCCAAATCAAAAGCCTCCCATCATTAATGGCACTGTCACAACAATGTGACAAACTAGATTATAAGATGATTTTGTATGTGAGCACATCAGTGAGACAGTTGCTTTACACCATTTAAACTGCTTTTAACAGGAATAACACACGTTATTGTCTCCAAATCGGAAGAAATAACTTTTTTTTTCTCACTGGCAGTCAGTTATTGACACAGGATAACCATCCATCAATCATCTTTACCCGCTTCTTCCTTTTTGGGTCATTGGTGCCCATATCCAGCTGTCACTGTACGAGAGGCCAGGGACACCCTGGACATGTCTCCAGTGCATCACAGGGACACAGAGACAAATGAGACAACCATTCACACTCTCACTCACACCTAGGGACAATTTAGAGTTATCGCAGAAAAAAACATTTTACTTAAATATGCATTTGCTAATTGTTATATTGCTTAGAATAAAATAAGTGATCACCTGAACATTAGTGTTAAGTCATTTACAAAGAGGAGCCTTCACTAAAGTGTGATATAGTTTATAGGGGTTGATGTTTATTGTATAATCTATAATATTATGTTATATAGTTATCAATTAGTGATCTCAGAGTTTTAAAAACATAAATTGTAGAATCCCCGTGCCTACTAGATTTAAAGTAGAAAATAGATTGTGTGGTCCGAGAGTACTGTTTGTTCCTCCACCTCTTTTAGTGCCACCAGCTCTTGTGAATGCTCTTGTTTACTTCTTAGCTAATATTTCACTGCAATTTTTGATCAATCACAACTGGTAGCAAATGTATTCCAGAGTTACTGGAGCATAGCGGTGTCATGGTGAGAACTGTTTTTTGAAACGCGTCTGGTTCCAGTGTTCTGTAAGGCTGTAGCGAATCCGTTTCACTGAGTTTTCATTCACAGGGGACTGTTTATAACACAACCCAGGTGGTTCTATGCATCAAGTGTTCACACTTTCAGTACAAAGTTTCACATTTATCAAATGCACTTTGTCGTTGAGCAAAGTTATGTTGTCAGGTTTGTTGATCTTTATGAAAGGCTTCAGCGTGACGTGCATCATCTCACATCTTGAGGCGTTTGCACTGTTCACAAATATAACCCTTCAACTTAGGAGCCAGACAAACACATTGTTCCTTCAGTGAAACACAAAAAAGGAACATATAAACAAGAAACCGTTAATGCAAAGACCACTCAGGGCTGTTGGCATCGGAGTTCACAAAATTGTTTAACTTCAAGAATGAGTTCTCACTACACCCTAGCTACGCTGTATTGTCTTGAATATCTTTGCTACAAGTTTTGCTCCAAATTTTGTATTAAATATTGATTAAGAAATTAACAAGAACACAACTTTTTATTGCTTTCTGCACATAAAATACAGCAAAATGGAACAATGATCACAGATCCTGTGACCTCTTGTCTAATTTTATCTAGTTGGCACACATGCTTAAGGGTTGTGCGATTCATACTCAGTACCCATAACCATATACCCAGTAGCAGCTCCAGAGCAAAAGTATTAGTGTGGTGGGCATTTATTTCCTGAATCACTAACAAGACACATTTTACAGATTGTATTACGTTTTCATAAAAATAAAAAAGGATATTGTGGTGCTTGATATTAAATTTATTATTGCTGTGTGTTTGTTTTTTTGTGCACAAACTTGTTGCCTTTTTCTTCCTCCCATTGCGTCTCATAAAAAAACAGTCTTGTCTAATAAATCAGAGAAATGGACGCCTCTCACATCCACCCCCATTCAAAATGGGAGTATTGTTTATTTTATCTGTGTAAAACAAAACAAGTGCACAGCTTTCAGGAATGTTTAGTGAAGTAACTAAAAAAAAAAATTTAAAAAGTGAAAAAATGATGTTAAAATTTATTGTCACAGATTCAAATAAATGATGCAGGCAGGGATCAAACCCACAGACTTCTGACTACAAAACCACCGATATAACTATTGAGCTATCACAGCCACACATCCACTACACAACTGGTGGCTGCGTTTCCACCACAGGTTCTACAAAATCAACTAAGGTAGCGCAACAGTCTCAGTTTTTGTCTCTCCTCTGTCCTCAGTTTTCTGCTCGGTTCCCCTGTCTGCTCCAAATGGATTTAAACAGAATATCTACACTGTTGGACACAGCAGGTTTCACTGCAGCTCTGTGCTCACTGAGGTCTAGTGTTAATAGTGACCATACCAATGAGCCGAATGTGTCCATGGGACAGAAAATTACAAGTCCTAAATGAGACTCTATCATAGCTGGCTGTTTGGTTCACTGGCGACATGGTTTGATCCATGGTTCAGTGAACGGCACTGCCCCATAACGGTAAATAAGTTAAAAAACCAACAAACTAAGAATTAATAATTAAAAATAACGTTTTAATTCCTTTTTAATAAAAAAATTTACGGAACAAAACAATACACAGTAAGTAATTTACATTATTTATTAGGAGGAACTACTTTGTGTGGGGGGGGGGTATGGTAAATTTTATCGGTGCGGCTGCGTGCCACCTGCTCCTTTGGACCAGTCGACACTGCATATACCAGTGTCTACATAGATGATAAATGGTTATAGATGTATGTCGTTATTTATATAACCTCAACAGTTTTTTGATTTTCCGCCACAGGTTCGACACATCCTCTGTGAAAAACATGGAAAATGCATGGAGGCGATGGAAAAACTGAAAGCCGGAGTTCGTTTCAGCGAAGTAGCGTCGCAGTACAGCGAGGACAAAGCCAGACAAGGAGTAAGCATCTGCATTTAAAACCAGACATGTTTTTTTTTGTCCTGATGCTGCTCAATAATCCAGGTAGATAAATCTAGCAAGGTTGAGTCAGGTTCTCTGGATGAATTCTTCTTTTGTTGAAATGTTTCATCTTTTATCCAAAAGACTTCTTCAGTCTGAGGAGCAGAAATAAACTCAGTCTTATAAACAGCGCCTTCTCATCGTGGATCAACTAGTTTTGTAGTTTGTTGGTGACAGCCAAAACTAGCTGTTCACGTGATCAAGAAGGACCATCAGCCAAAAAATTGATCATTAGTGCCCTGATGGCCGCTTGCTAGAGCTGGATCCTGCCGGAACAAGATCTGGGAACTCTCTCATTTTGACCACTCAGATGCGGCAATTCAAATCTCGGCCCCTAAAAGTCCAAAGTCATTGCACATTTTTATTTTGATTATTTATTAATAAGACAACGAGAGGAGACGTTGACCATGTCTGTGGAGTGGATGTTCCGGCCGCACCATGCTCCTGCCCAGCAGAGACGTGGACTGCATGTCCCGCGGGGAGCTTCTTCATCCGCCTTCAGCTGTGCGCCCGGCCCCTGCAGACTTTACGCGCAGCGTCTCCGGACAGCTCTGCAGGACGCTGTGTCGGAAGTCCTACATGCATTACCGCGGCGCATAACATTTCAGACCTAATAAATAAGTTTACAGTAAAATAAATAAATACGAGTGAAATGTTTGATGTGTATTATTCACATTACCTCACGTATCAAAACAACGGCACTAATTTGTCAAAAATACCAGCAATCAAAATGTCGAAAAGACAGTTCAGTTTATTATTTAAAACAAATAAATGGATAGATTGTCCTTAGCTGGACAACAGAGAATTGAAGCACCTGAAATAGATAAATAATAGAGATTGGAGCAGAACAACGTGCAGGACTGAATTCAGCAGAGTTCGGGTCGGACAGTGTGTGTATCGGAGCTGCATTCACACACAGGCTTCATAATTGTTGTTGCTCTCTAAAATAGTAATTTCAATTCAACCTTTATTTATACAGGTTGTTAGTCTCATGGAGCCTCGTCATTTACAAGAGAGACCTGTTTTTAATCAAATATTTAACAACCTGTTAAAATACACCAAAATGCAGGAAATGACATCTCTTTTATTCCAAATTTTCTGGGGGAGGACCCACGGACACTGAACAGCATACACAACATTACTCTGTTTGCGCCGGGGGACTGGATCTTTGGGATGGACCAGTCTTTGCTGTAATGTATTTTGGGGTTTAAAAGCCACTGGGATGTCGTGTTTAGAAAATAAACGTCTCAGTTTCTCTGAAACTCCTGCATCATACAGAATGACCACTGGTTGGTTTCTTGTTTTGCTGAATCTATTCTCTCTTTAAATGTATGATTCAAATAATTCCATTACTCATGCGCTCTACCTGTGGGGGCCACGTTGTTGTTCATTTCTCCTAATGCATGACACTTTGCTTGAATGATGTCACAAAGTTTACCAGAAATTTATTTATGCAGCAATAATAACGTTTCTATTTTTGCCATATTCAGTAACGTCGCCCTTAAGACTTGAGGTGATTAATATAACAAACAGGTTTGGTGATGAGCTTTCATCATTTATAGAATTGAGACTGATGAGCAACAGATTGTTGACCCACACGTCACACAGCTGCTCCATATTCACACCTTCAACCCACCAGAACACCCACACCAGTTAAATCTTGTCCTGGAAGGAAATGTCAGTGGAAATGAAGTCACTTGAGTATACCTTGTAAATATTCAGGCTGTTGGAAGCTTTTATCTCAAGTCTTTCTGCTGCATCAGTCGTGTTTTTGTCCTCACCATTCTGTCTTTCCTTGTCAGGGCGATCTGGGCTGGATGACGCGAGGGTCGATGGTCGGACCTTTCCAGGACGCAGCGTTTGCTCTTCCTGTCAGTTCGATGGATAAGCCCGTCTACACAGACCCTCCTGTCAAGACAAAGTTTGGGTACCACATCATTATGGTAGAAGGGAAAAAGTGACCTCTCAACATCTAAAACAGGACTAATAAATTCACTTGTGGGTTCCATTGTGTTTTTTATTTTTATTTTATTACGTTGCGCTTTAAGAGAAAAAACTGTCCAGCTGTTAAACAGCTGAGGGTCTGTTTTACAAAATCACTTTTACCTTATTAATATCTTGTTTTTGTAATTTTAGTAAAGTGCGTGGAACTCCCATCATAGATAACCAAATAAATGGGTTTTGAGAAATATTCTGTAATGTAGAATGACTTATGCATGAAGAATAGATTTAGGAAAGATTGCAAAAGAGCTGTGTATTTTTGATTAATATTTAAAAAATATAATACCTCTTGACACTATGGACCTAGCTGTTCAATTTGAATAGTCGTAAATAATGCAAATAGCCCATGTCTGCTTTAGGAATTAAATAAATACTTTTACTATATAGAAGTAATGCTTTTTTTTAAATAAATGCATATACAGGTTTTTGTAATGCAGATATGTCAGTAGTAGGCAATAATTTTAAGAAATACATTTACCGTCTTAGTTAAACAGCAATACTGTACTTCATAGTATTCATATTATGTTGCTTTGTGAAGTCATAATGTCATACTTTTGTTATTTAGCCCAACTCCGTGTCAAATAACTGACTCACCCTGCTGGTAGCAGACGTCTTGAACAAATGGATCCAGAAATGTGTCATTGTTTATGGCATGCCACCGTAACATATAAAAAACATATAGTTGTGTCTTATTGCTATTTTTAAATACTGTATCACAAAAATATTTCTGGACAAAATGGAATTTTTACTAGTCAGAATTAAAATATATATTCAGTTCAGTTTATTTATATAGTGCCATGTCACAAGTGAAGTTGCCTCAGGGCACTACAAAAATATTTGCACATATAAAAAGCTTCAGTGTTCTTTATTGTCATTTGCATCACATGTGGTACATGATGTGGAACGGAATTGTGTACTCGAGGTCCCAGTCATATCCCAAAATAATACTAATATTTCTTTTTTTTTTCATTTACCCTTTATTTATCCAGGTAGTCTCATTGAGTCACGAGAACTCATTTTCGAGAGAGACCCGTTTAGGGAGCAGGTGATGGGGGTTAAGGGCCTTGCTCAGGGGCCCAGGGTGGGGAGAATGAGGGTGGAGGCAGGTGTGGGTGTTTCACCTTTTCCACCCACATTTTTGATGTTGATGGTACCGGGAGTTGAACCTGCAACTTTCTGATCACAGGACCATCTTCTAACCTCTGCGCCACCATTCCCCCAAATATCAAGTATAAAAAGAAACGGTATATAAGGATCTAAGATATATGCTAAACAAGTAAACACTAATAATGTAAAATAATACAGTATATTGAACAGCAGCCTGAACATGAGTCTGCTGTGAGCAGGTGGGCATGAATACAGCAGCTTAAAGGCAAGACATCAGCAGCACAGATAGTGACATATCAAGGATTCATTCAAATTTATCACCAATTAAAGTGACATTACAGTGATTTTTCTTTTTTTTTTTGTTTCTCTTACAGTGATTATCCTGATTAAGGATTTATGAGTCTTAACAGCTTCAGGGTAGAAGCTGTTCCTCAGCCTAGTGGTTCTACTCTTAATGCTCCTTAACCTCCTTCCTGAGGGGAGCGGGGCAAAAAGTGTGTGTGCTGGGTGAGTGGTGTCCTTCATGATGCAGGTGGCTTTCTTCCTGCATCTAGAGGTGTAGATGTCTGTGATGGTGGGGAGGCTGACTCCAACAGACTTCTGTGCAGCCTTCACCACTCTCTGCCGAGCTTTTCTCTCTCCAGCTGTGCAGCCTCCATGCCAGGAAGTAGAGTCTCTGATGAGCTTTCTTGATCAAGCTGGTGGTGTTGCCCCACCTGAGGTTGCTTTTCAGGTGAACACCCAAATACTCGCATACCAACTTGTATGCAACATATTGCTTATTTGGCCATGATCCATATGATGGCCATAGGTGAGGAATCACATATATGGCCCAGTAAACAGACCTTCACCACAACAAACCAGACCAGTACTGTCATTACTGTGGACAGGTCACTAATCCATCTCATCGACAACATTCCAGAACTTCTCTTAAAGCAAAGACTCACTCAAAATTTGGGCTGATGTGCTGAGTCGTTCTTCCTTGGAAAAATTACGCAACTTCTTCCATTCATGTGTACTGGGCTCGGTACAAGTACATAGTTCCCGTCTAGAATGACCACTGACAATACGTATAATACAATGTTACAGTGTTCCAAGTTATGATGTCTGTAACTGTGTGTAAGTAGTTATAATGATTGATATCCCTAAAAAAAAAAAAAAAAATTGGGACTACTAGGAGTAGCTACACAAAATGAGAGATTCTCTTTGTTCAATAAACACAAAAGTCCAGTACACATGTAGAACATGTGCCTTTTTCTCCAGTGAAGAATCATGTTTGAAATAAAACGCAAATGTTGAATAGATCGAATGACATTTTTGATTAGCTGAATGTGCATTTTGGCTTGAAATTGAATTCCTGTACTGTGTGAACAGTAAATCAGCTTCTCGTGTGTAATTTACCTTCCGGGCCGGTAGGCGGCAGCAGCTGGAACAGCGCATGCTCGCAACACCAGCTCCAGGACAAGACGGTTATTACGCCGTGGTAGATGATTGGTGAGGTAAGATGGCGGCGCCAGAGGAGCAAGAATTATCTCAGGCGCAGACCGAAAAACTCCTTCAATTTCAGGTAGACAACCCAAGTTTCAAACGAATGTCGGTCCGTTTGAAGCCTAATGTGTGAGCGTGTTAGCCCTGACGGTGATTAGCAAAGAGCAGGTCGAACTGTCGGTGTAAAAACTCATTTTTTCACAGTGAACTTCGACATCGACTCCCCAACCGTCAACTTGAGTCATAGCTGGCGTTAGCAGAGGCTAGGCTAACCAACAAGTTGGCAGACTTTCTTTTAAAAACAATAAAGCTTAACTTTGTCGGACGCTTCTTTTCGACATAAACCTAGTGAAACTCTGTAAATCTTAAATGTCCGTCTTTTACCTCTTATTGGGCGTTTTGACTTTGGATTTGGTTCACATGTAGCGCGCCTCACTGAACATTTGCTAAGTCAACATTAGCACTCGGGCTGACGCTGAACTTTTGAGGATACTCCAGTGCTTTAGCTTTGCCTAATCTAATGTGTGGTCGGATGTGTCTGCAAGATGCATTTTTGTAGTTTCTCCTCTGTAGCCCAATGAGTCGGCAGCTTGTGAGCCATTAGAAACACAGGAAACAGCTGCTGTTCTGATTTTAACTCAGAAGACGGGCTATTTTTAAATAGATGGAAAAAACAGTTTGTGTTGCATTATCATTGTTTTAATTATCAGTTTATTTCAGATAGAAGAAAACCCACAGGTCTATTTAACAAAGAAATAAGTTATGTAATAAAAATGTAGTTCAGCTTAAGTGCAGACAAAGCTGCTTTTAACCATTAAGGAGACATTTTTAAAGTACAGAAAATGAAGACCATCATACAACAATCAGATAGCATCTAGTGGTGCTAGAAAGTTTGTGAACCCTTTATAATTTTCTATATTTCTGTGTAAATATGACTTATAGCCTCATCAGATTATCACACTTAGTCCTAAAAGTAGATAAAGTGAACCCAGTTAAACAAACCAAACGAGACAAACGTATTATACTTGATTGTTTATTTATTGAGCAAAATGATTATACATATGTATGAATGGCAATAGTATGTGAACCTCTAGGATTAGCAGTTAATTTGAAGGGGAAATTAGAGTCAGGTGTTTTCAATCAATGGGATGATCAGGTGTGAGTGGGCACCCTGTTTGATTTAAAGAACAGGGATCTGCTCTTCACAACACGTTTGTGGAAGTGTATCATGGCACGAACAAAGGAGATTTCTGAGGACATCAGAAAAAGAGTTGTTGATGCTCATCAGGCTGGAAAAGGTCACAAAACCATCGCCAAAGAGTTTTGGACTCCACCAATCCACAGTCGGATAGATTGTGTACAAATGGAGGAAATTCAAGACCGCTGTTACCCTCCCCAGAAGTGGTGGACCAACAAAGATCACTACAATGCGTGAAATAGTTGGCAAGCTCACAAAAGAACCCCAGAGGAACCTCTAAGCAACTGAGGGCCTCTCTCACATTGGCTGATGTTAATGTTCATGAGTCAACCATCAGGAGAACACTGAACAACAATGGTGTGCATGGCAGGGTTGAAGGAGAAAGTCACTGATCTCCAAAAAGGACATTGCTGCTCATCTTTGCTAAAGATCATGTGGACAAGACAGAAGGCTATTGGAAGAACGTTTTGTGGGCGGGTGAGACCAAAATATAACTTTTTGGTTTAAATGAAGTGTTATGTTTGGAGAAAGGAAAACGCTGCGTTCCTGCATAAGAACCTTATCTCATCTGTGAAACATGGTGGTGGTAGTATCATGGATTGGGCCTGTTTTACTACATCTGGGCCAGGGCAACTTGCCATCGTTGATGGAACAATGAATTCTGAATTATATCAGAGAATTCTAAAGGAAAATGTCACATCTGTCCATGAGCTGAATCTCAAGACAAGGCGGGTCATGCAGCAAGACAGTGACTCTAAGCACACAAGTGGTTCTACCAAAGCATGGTTCCAGAAGAATAAAGTTCATGCTTTGGAATAGCCAAGGCAAAGTCCTGATCTTAATCCAATCCAGATGTTGTGGAAGGACCTGAAGCAGCAGTTAATGTGAGGAAACCATCAACATCCAGACTTTTCATGGAGGAGTGGGATAAAATTCCTCCATATCTGTGTGCAGGACTGATCAACATGTACCGGAAATGTTTAGTTTCAGTTTATTTATTAACCTTTATTTAACCAGGCAAATCCCATTGAAATCACAGATCTCTTTTGCAAGGGAGGCCTGGACCTAAAGGCAACCTAGCGTACATGTTTTTTGGTCTGTGGGAGGAAACCAGAGTACCCGGAGAAAACCCATGCATGCACAAGAAGAACATGCAAACTCCACACAGAAAGACCCCAGGTCCAACTGGGGATTGAACCCAGGACCTTTTTGCTGTGAGGCAACAGTGCTAACCACTGAGCCGTCGTGCTGCCAGTTATTGCTGCACAGTTGGTCACCTCACACCAGACACTGGAAGCAACTGTCTACTGCAGTTATTGTTGTCTACTGTTGTCATCACTCTTTGTTAAAATCAGGTCTCTCTTATAAATGAGTCCTCGAGGCTCAGTGAGACCAACCACTGACATGTCCAAACCATCTCAGTCTGGTGTCTCTAACTTTATCTCCCAGATGTCCAACCAGTGCTGTACCTCAGATTATCTCATTCCTAATCTTATCCAGCCTTGTCACTCCTAAGGAGAACCTTAGCATCTTCATTTCTGCCACTTCCAGTTCTTTCTCCAGTCTTTTTGTCAATGTCTCTGTCTCCAGACCATACAACATAGCTGGTCTCACCACTGTCTTGTAAACTTTTTCTTTGACCTTTGCTGACACCCTTTTGTCACAAATCACTCCTGAAACTTTTCTCCATTCACTCCATCCTGCCTGGCCTCTCTCTTTCACTTCTTTACCACATTCCCCATTTTCCTGGACAGTGGACTCCCAAGTACTTGAAGTCCTGCACCTTTGTGACCTCTGCTCCTTGTGGCCTCACTGTTCCACCGGCCTCCCTCTCATTTACACACATGTACTCTGTTTTACTACGGCTGACTTTAATTCCTCTTCTTTCAAGTGCATACCTCCACGTCTCCACAAGTTCTCTTCCACCTGTTCCCTGTTCTCACCACAGATCACAATGTCATCTGCAAACATAATTCACGGGGATTCTTGCCTGACCTCCTTTGTTAGTCGGTCCATCACCAGCGCAAACAAGAAGGGACTCAGAGCCGGTCCTTGATTCAATCCCACCTCCACCTTGAAGCTGTCACTCCTACAGCACATCTCACCACTGTCCTGCTGTTTTCATACATGTCCTGTACCAGTCTAACATACTTTTCTGCCACTCCAGATTTCCTCATGCAATACCACACCTCCTCCCTCGGCACTCTGTCATGTGCTTTTTTCTAAACCCACAAAGACACAATGGAGTTCTTTCTGACCCTCTTTGTACTTCTCCATCAGCATTCTCAAAGCAAAGATGGCATCTGTTTTTGCCACTCACAAGTATGTACCGGTAATATTGGATAATTTTCCTCAATAAATAAATTACCAAGTATAATATACTTTATATCTGTATTATTAAGTATGAACTTTGGTTTTTTGAACCGCTTTGGGATGGTCTGTCTTAGAAGAGTTGACGGGGGAGAGGGCAGGCTCCGGAGTCCATCTTGTCACCTACAAACTGATTTTTTTTCCACTCTGAGAGTGAGCCGTTTGTGGGATTCAGTTTGGTTTGGTGGGCTCCTCAGACTAAAGAAGTCCTTCGGAGGAAGGACGAGACGTCTCAGCAACAAAAGAAACCATCCATATGACCTGACTGAACATTGGTGGACCAAGTATAATAATTTTGTCTCATTTGTTTAACTGGATTATTTTTTATCTACTTTAGCACTTTTTGTGAAAATCTGAAGATGTTTTAGATCAAATTTATGCAAAAATATAGAAAATTATAAAGGGTTCACAAGTTTTCAAGCACCTCTGTAAATGTATAAAACTTCTCTGAACTTTAATCTACTGACACGTTGTGTTTGTCGTTAGCATCCCTTTTGTGTTAAAACTCGTTGAATCTGTAGTGTGAGACCTCGACAAAATAAAGATTCATTGCAATCTGCTGGCTTCTTCAGATAACATTTACTAATTTGCTTTTTAAATGTATGAATGTTTCTGTTCAGGGCCCTGAGACTACTTGGCGCTATAGAAATAAATTGATTTTTTAATTTTTTTTTAATCTTTCATTTTCTCAAAAGAAAATATTTTTCTCTTGACTTTGTGAATTTGGGAGGAATAACATCTCTCTGCCAGTTTTAGTTATGAACATGTTTGTTGTGTTACTAACATTTATGCACTTAAGCCTGAGGTTGTTCAGGCCACGTGCCTCTAGATAACTTAGGTTGCATTCACACCAGCCCTGTTTAGTCCGCTTTAATTGAACTCTAGCTCGTTTTCCTAGAAAGTCCGGTTCGTTTAGGAAGGTGTGAACGTGCCATCGAACTCTGTCACGGAACAAAAAGGCGAACTCTGGCCCGGGCTAAAACCTATGTCTCGGTCCGGTAGAAGCGGACTCCAGCGCGGTTCGAGTACGGTGTGAATGTAAACAGACCGAGGCCCGCTCCGCAGGGTAAACAAACACGCATTTCTCTGACCTTATATGGAGCCGTCAGCTGCCTTGTGTGAAAAAACAATATTCTCCATGGTCTTCTGTCTCATCTTCTGCTCATGCTAAGTCCATTTTTGAAAAATGACAAAATATAACTCCTAAAACTTGATGCCACTTCGTTTTTATTTTTATTTCCAGAAGAAGAAGAGTGTCTTCAGCGGTTTTTGTGTCATTTCTTTCAATAGTTCTCGGTGCAGCGCCCCCTCAGGCAAGTGGGGGAATAGGTTGGTTCAACAGCACAGTGCAGTGTGAATGCAAACGCACCAGCTCAAATGTAAACAAAAGGTCATGAATATTGGTCCCGAACCGAGTCTACCGGACTATCTGGTGGGAAAACGACCATAAAGTTTGTGAACTCCTGAGCTCCTCTGAGCAAAGATTTGGCTAAAACATATAAAATGAAATGATCTGAATATACAACACATGATAAGCACTGGATTTCAAAACCATATTTATCAGTGTTTACAGTGGAGGGAGTGGTGGCGCAGAGGTTAGAGAAGGTGAGCATGTGTTCCGAAGATCACCGGTTCAACTCCCAGTACCGACAACATCAAAATGTGGGTGGGAAAGGTGAAGCTCCCACACCTGCCTCCACCCTCATTTGCCCCACTCTCGGCTCTTGAGCAAGGCCCTTAACCCCCACCATCTGCTCCCCCAGGTGCCCTATATAGCAGCTCTGCTCCACACACAGGGCTGTGGTAACTTGGTGGTCTTTGGTTGTGTCAGGAAGGACATAAGTCTTTGTGTGACTCAGTTCGCTGTGGTGACCCCTGATGAAGGGAGAAGCCGAAAGAAGAAAAAAAAATATCCGTGTTTACAATAGATGCCAAGAGGTCTGAAGTTTGACAAATAATTTATTGGGCTTTTCAAAGTGAAAACGTGTTAAATCCGGACGAGGGTTGAGATTTTTTAGAAACACATCTATGCAATAATTGTTCTTTCCTTCGGGGTGTTTGTAAAAGTGTGTGACCATGTCAACATAGTATGAAGCAGCATCTGTGACTGTGACACATCCATCCACCATCTTTTTACCCGCTTCTTCCATTTTGGGTCGCCGGTGCCCATGTCCAGCAATCACTGTGCGAGGGGCGGATGACATGCACGGAGAGAATATGCAAACTCCACTCACAAAAGACTCTGATCAGAAAGGCCCCTGGACCGGGATTTGAACCGGGAACCTACTCGCGGCGAGGCAGCAGCTCTACCAGTTGCGCCACCATGCTGCTGACTGTGACCCATGCTGGCAAAATAAATCACGATGAGGAATTGTTCAATACTGAATTGTTCAATACCGAATTGTTTTCAGATTATCCATGTCAAAAACTTTAAAATGATACACAGTTAAAATTAGTTGATTTCTTACGTGGCTAGAAGCCAACTAGTTTTGTTTATGATTGCGCTAGTTTGAAAACTAATTTGTTATTGATGTGGAGTGATTGCCATTGGGAATTCCAGCCACATATATTTATATTTTAAAAAAGGGAATTCCCAAGCCACAAAATGACACCAATGTTTATACAAAGGGATTTCCTGGCACTATTGTAGGTGGCAGAGAGAAATGGTAAATTTCAAAATGAATGATAAAAATTAGAATCAAATGGATTATTTCTCTGTTACAATTATGTACAGTGCCTTGCGAAAGTATTCGCCCCCCTTGAACTTTTCAACCTTTTTGCCACATTTCAGGCTTCAAACATTAAGATATAAAATTTAAATTTTTTGTGAAGAATCATCAACAAGTGGGACACAATCATGAAGTGGAATGAAATTTATTGGATGTGTCAAACTTTTTTAACAAATAAAAAACTGAAAAGTGGGGCGTGCAATATTATTCAGCCCCCTTGCGTTAATAGCTCCGTCTTTTGCTGCAGTTCCAGCTGCAAGTCTCTTGGGGTTTGTCTCTATCAGTTTTGCACATGGAGACACTGAAATTCTTGCCCATTCTTCCTGCAAAACAGCTCGAGTTCAGTGAGGTTGGATGGAGAGCATTTGTGAACAGCAGTCTTCAGCTCTTTCCACAGATTCTCGATTGGATTCAGGTCTGGACTTTGACTTGGCCATTCCAACACCTGGATACGTTTATTTGTGAACCATTCCATTGTAGATTTGTCTTTATGTTTTGGATCATTGTCTTGTTGGAAGATAAATCTCCATCCCAGTCTCAGGTCTCTTGCAGACTCAAACAGGTTTTCTTCCAGAATGGTCCTGTATTTGGCCCCATCCATCTTCCCACCAATTCTGACCATCTTCCCTGTCCCTGCTGACGAAAAGCAGGCCCAAACCATGATGCTGCCACCACCATGTTTGACAGTGGGGATGGTGTGTTCAGGGTGATGAGCTGTGTTGCTTTTACACCAAACATATCGTTTTGCATTGTGGCCAAACAGTTGGATTTTGGTTTCATCTGACCAGAGCACCTTCTTCCACATGTTTGGTGTCTCCCAGGTGCTTGTGGCAAACTTTAAACAACACTTTTTATGGATATCTTTCATAAATGGCTTTCTTCTTGCCACTCTTCCATAAAGGCCAGATGTGTGCAGTGTACAACTGATTGTTGTCCTATGGACAGACTCTCCCACCTCAGCTGTAGATCTCTGCAGTTCATCCAGAGTGATCATGGGCCTCTTGGCTGCATCTCTGATCAGTCTTCTCCTTGTTCGTGATGAAAGTTTAGAGGGACGGCCAGGTCTTGGTAGATTTGAAGGGTCTGATACTCCTTCCATTTCAATATGATTGTTTCCACAGTGCTCCTTGGGATGTTTAAAGTTTGGGAAATCTTTTTGTATCCAAATCCGGCTTTAAACTTCTCCACAACTGTATCTCGGACCTGCCTAGTGTGTTCCTTGGTCTTCATGATGCTCTCTGCACTTTGAACAGAACCCTGAGACTATCACAGAACAGGTGCATTTATATGGAGACTTGATTACACACAGGTGGATTCTATTTATCATCATCAGTCATTTGGGACAACATTGGATCATTCATAGATCCTCACTGAACTTCTGGAGTGAGTTTGCTGCACTGAAAGTAAAGGGGCCGAATAATATTGCACGCCCCACTTTTCAGTTTTTTATTTGTTAAAAAAGTTTGACACATCCAATAAATTTCATTCCACTTCACGATTGTGTCCCACTTGTTGTTGATTCTTCACAAAAAATTAAAATTTTATATCTTTATGTTTGAAGCCTGAAATGTGGCAAAAGGTTGAAAAGTTCAAGGGGGCTGAATACTTTCTCAAGGCACTGTATAAATAAATTAGGAAGATTATATGTTTTTTTTTGGTCAATGAGATCATTGGATGGTGTCTTTATTAATACATTTTTATGCAAATCTCATGTAAAGAAAATACTACATTCATGTTTTTCCCCACCACAGCCTGGGCTCATTCTGGCTCATTTTGTCAGGGCTGGTCACAAAAATGTCAAATTCTATCACAAAGTTCTTGTTTTGGCGTTTCTCTCTTCAGGGGTCTCCACAACAAGTCATCCTCCTCCATCTCAATCCGTCCTCTGCATCCTCTGTCCTCATTCCATCCATCCATCCATGTCCTCTCTAACTGCATCCATACTGTATATATCCTCTTTGACCTTCATTTAATATTTTTCCTGGCAGCTGCATTTCTAACATCCTTCTACCAATATACCCACTGTCCCTCCTCTGGACATGCCAGAACCATCTCAGGCTGTCCTTACTAATTTTATCTCCCAGTTGTTCATCCTCTGCTGTTCCTCTGATGATCTCATTCCTAATCTTATTCATCTTTATCGCTCCTAAGGAGAACCTCAACATCTTCATATCTGCCACTTCCAGTTCTTTCTCCTGTCTTTTTGTCAGTGCCACTGTCTCCAGACCATACAACATAGCTGGTCTCACCACCTTTGCTGACACCCTTTTGTCACAAATCACTCCTGAAACTTTTTGGTAAGCAGGGCGCTCGGTTCTGTTAACAGGGTGGAGTGTCCTCTTTGTGTAATGGTAAGGGAAACACTGGTTTTGGCAAAAGTATTGAAATGTCAAATGCCCTTCCTGACTCAACCCTTACTATTTACCCTGGCTTGGGACCGGCACAAGAGATACTCTGGCTAGTGCTCTCTAGTGACTGGGTTTTCTATCACAATTAAGTTAGACATATTTAAAAAGCAACTGCAACGAAATTCCTGGGATATAAAATGTGACATAACACTGGTCACAGGATCAGCAGTATGAACACTGTTCTAGAAAATAAATTGGTCTCCTTTTAAACCAGTTTCCTGCCCTCATGAGGAACGTGAGACCTTTAATTTTTGTAACCTTTGGTTCTTTTCTAACAGGACTTAACGGGTTTGGAATCAATGGACCAATGTCGTCGAACGTTAGAGCAACATAACTGGAACATAGAGGTACGATCACATGACAAAGGACATATGTTTATTTAGTTTTATCACGTTTAATTTCGTGCATGGATTCTTGAACTCTGCCGCTTGTTAAATCTCCAGTACGATGTGTGTGTGTTTCAGGCTGCAGTGCAGGACAGACTTAATGAACAGGAAGGGGTTCCCAGCGTGTTTAACCCCCCACCATCCCGACCACTTCAGGTCAATACAGCAGACCATAGAGTATATAGTTACATCGTGTCAAGGCCTCAACCCAGGGTAGGCCTGTTTGAAATTCCCACCCACACCAGAATACTACTGTTCTGTTATGTCCTGTGGTACTGTAAAACTGTAATACAACCTGTTCCACTCATGTTTGTTTTTACAAATTATGTTCCTTAAATATAATTCATTCAAAACCAAATGTGTTGCCGTTTTAAGAAAACCTTTATAATACTAGAATTTCTTCCTCCTTTCTGTTGTTTTTTTTATATAATCTAAAACAATATTACTTTACCAGTACTTGAGCATTGTGCAGTTAATTGGTGTTTCTTTTCAGGGATTACTAGGATGGAGTTACTACTTGATAATGCTGCCATTCAGATTTACATATTACACACTTCTGGACATATTCAGGTAATCAAAGCACACTGATTAAAACTCATCAGCATTTGTTAAATTAGTGCAATCAGCTGTCATGTTGTCTTTCCTTCAACAGGTTCGCCCTGCGGTTCATTAGGCCAGATCCTCGTGGTCGCGTGACAGACCCCGTTGGAGATGTTGTGACTTTCATTCGGAATTTTGAGGAGAAGTATGGTCAGTCCCACCCTGTGTTTTATCAGGGAACATACAGCCAGGTGAGGTCAGAATCGCAACGCAGTTAGAACAATTATGGGCATGTGTGGAAATACATGAAGGTCTGTCTTTATTTCATGTAGGCACTGAATGATGCCAAACGGGAGCTTCGCTACCTATTAGTGTACCTTCACGGAGAGGATCATCAAGACACAGACGAGTTTTGCCGGTACTGTATTTGTTTATGCGTGTCTTATCTGTATGTGGAAAAACACACACACACACTAGGCCTGTCGCAATAAACAAATCAATTAATCGCATGATAAATGAAAATTATCTATCCCATTTTCATTTATCGGCTTTATCGTTTCTTCGTATCTCTCTCTTTCTACTGAAGACACTGGATGACAAAAGACTCAGCTCCGGTGCTCTTCACTGACGCATCCCTTTCTCTTTTATCTTTAAAATCTGTTTTAACTGTCCAAAATTGCGTTTTTGGATCATTAAAAGCAGCTAAGCTACGAGCTAAGCTAACAGGCCGACTTCAGGGAAAAAAACCTCTGTCTTGTCGAAGGTCCAAAATTCACAGTTGAAACCCGTGCCTTCGTCTAAAAAGTTGTTTTTCTCTGCAAAAAGAAGTCGAGAACTTGTTTACTGATTTTTTTTTATTAAAAGCTTTGTGTGAAAATGCTATGCTAAAGAGCTCAAACCACACCGAGCGTCCGCCATTTTAAGAACCGAAAAACAGGAACAAGAGACGGCCCATGTCACGTCAAGGGGCCTTGTCATTCCCCAATCTGTTACGGATGCACGATCCGTAGTGCACTTCCGGGTCGCACGGATCGCCGTTGTTTATGAATAAAAACTGTCTTAATTTACTTACAAAAGTACGTGCTCTATCTCCACTGATCTTCATGTAGCTACTTTATGCCATTCGTATTTGCGTTACAAATCATTGGTTAAGATGATGTGCCATGCCTTAGACCTGACCCCCAGCCTGTGCTGAATGAGAAAAACCCTGCAAGATACAGAATGAATTATTTTCATGGTGAAACGGTGCCACTCAGTGGTGACGCTGCATATCGTTTTAACCATGACGTAAATAAGTCAATGATTTTAACAGGTATACGAGTGGCATAAATTAGCAACATGAAAATCGGCAGCGATAGAGCACATACTTTTCTAAGTAAATTAAGACAGTTCTTATTCCATCCATCCATCCATTATCTTTTACCTGCTTCTTCCTTTTTGGGTCACCGGGGGTCACCGGTGCCCATGTCTGGCAGTCATTGTGCGAGGGGCAGGGTACACCCTGGACAGGTCTCCAGTCCATCACAGGGACACAGAGACAAATGAGGCAAACAACCATTCACGCTCTCACGTTCACGGCGATCCGTGCGACCTGGGAGTATTCCTTTTAGCGCATGCGCAAATGAGCTACAGTACGAATCAGGTTCCGTAACGGATCGGGGAATGATAGGCTTCCCTCCCATTTTTCTTAGAGACACGCTGTTCACTCCCTCACTATCCATCCTTCAGTTCATATAGTCTTATACTGTCATCCACTGGTTAAAAATGGTACTACATGCTAAAATTAATAATAATAATGTCATCACATTGTCTGCACTGTATGTTTCCATACAATGGTGAAATTAGTCTGCATTTAACCCGTCCACCACCAGGTGGTGCAGTGGGCAGCAACTGAAAGTGCCCATGGGGCATTTTGGGGATGAGGTGTGCTGCCCAGAGACACCACGAGGTATGCAGTGACTGGGGGTCAAACCTGGGACTTTCAGTCCCGAGCATTTCTTTTTAAATTTGACAATAATTCCTAATTATTGTCAAATTTCAAACAATATTATTGTTTATTGAAATAATTTCTGAGAAAATTAATTGCCCAGCAAAATTTTATCGTGACAGGCCTAACACACACACACATATATATGATTTTATATATACTGTAATACTAATATATTACAACTGTGTTTGAATGCTTGTTTTTACGGCACATAATTTCAAGTTTGTGAATAAATTTTTTATTTATTAATTTTCCACTTTGCTCTCATGAACCTTTTGTCTCAGCAAATGTATTAATTGTATTTGTCTGATCTGTCCTTTCTCAGCTCCACACTATGTACAGAAGAGGTCATAACCTTCCTCAACACACGAATGCTCTTCTGGGCATGTTCAACAAGCAAGCCTGAGGGCTACAGAGGTGGGCTAGCTTACAGTGTGTCAAAGGTTCCTTTGAACACAAAACTGTTTAGTTCTACCAACATATCGAGACAATCAACACATTAATGAACGATAAAATTATTTAAGGGGTTGCAATGAGGCTTTAATTGAGATTATGGACATTTCTGTATGGCAACAACTGGATTACAGCAAAGGAAAAAAAAGCAACACTAACAATAAAATCTAATTGTTTATTAGATTTTTGATGTGCTTTGGTGTAATTTAGTGTCCCAAGCGCTGCGGGAGAACACCTACCCATTCCTGGCCATGATAATGCTGAAGGACCGCAAGATGACAGTGGTGGGCAGGCTCGAGGGTCTCATTCAGCCCGAGGAGCTCATCAACCAGCTCAACTTCATCATGGAGGCCAACCAAACATATCTGACATCAGAGCGCCTAGAACGGTACGGCAAGTTCACTCCAGTTTAACTTTAAAATATCACATCACATATTTATGCTGAGATTTTTGTGACATTTCCCAAAAAAGGCTCGTGATTCTAAACATGTGACCTAAAGGAGTTTTAAGGCCATTTATTGAACGATTAAAAACTAACATTGTGTTTCAGAGAGGAGAGGAACCAGACCCAGGTGCTCAGGCAGCAGCAGGACGAGGCCTATCTGGCCTCCCTCCGTGCCGACCAGGAGAAGGAGAGAAAGAAAAGGGAGGAGCAGGAGCAGCGGAGGCAGGAGGAGGAGAAGGTCAGACAAAGTGCTCTTGCAGAGGAGCGGAGACGAAGAGTAAGTCAGATATTTTGTCTCACTAACTAATCTGTACACGGAGACTAGTTCTATTCATTTCTCATTGGTGTTGCTGATTGTTGTGACTCCAGACACTAGAAGAGGAGAAGGAGAGGAAGTCAGAATGTCTTCCTCCAGAGCCACTCGCCGATGATCCAGAAAGTGTCAAAATAGTGTTTAAGCTGCCCAACGACACACGAGTAGAAAGACGATTCCTGTTCGGGCAGTCTCTGACGGTGGGTCCCGCTTACTCAGCCCGTCTTTAGTCATCATCAACGAAATACTCTTTTCAACAAAATCTGCGTTTTTAGATATTTATTTGAAACACTTCAGCACGTGAAAGCATATAACAAAAATATTTGCTTACGTTTAATTTTTGTTACCATTTTTTGGACTAAAGGGTGCACTGAAAATCTTGTCTCAAAAATCAACGGTGCACCTTGCGTATTAATTCTGGTTGTGCTTATTGACCTCGAACAGATTTTATGTGGTACGACTGAACAATGTTGAGTTATTGTGAACGAGTTGAATAAAAAGTTTCACTTATCTGTTTTGTTTAGCTTAATGCTCCTTATAATCCGAAAAATACGGTACTTACTTTTTCACGCATCTATTTTTCTTCCACAGGTAATACACGACTTCCTCTTCTCTTTGAAAGAAACTCCAGAGAAGTTTCAGATCGTTACAAACTTCCCTCGCAGAGTCTTGCCCTGTCTCCCGACTGAAGAGCAGCCCAACCCCCCCACACTGAAAGAGGCAGGACTCAGTCGCTCCGAGGTCCTTTTTGTTCAGGACCTTACGGACGATTAAATGATGGCATACCTCTTCTACACAAGCTCGTTTCCTTCCAATACTCACCACATTTTGTTGGCATCTTTTTGTTAAAAGGCCACCTTGCATTAAGGGATCGTCGCAGTAAAACCCTCACCTGGAAGATTTAACCCCCCTGCATCAAGAGCTGGTTGTGTTCACAGGGTTCCCAGTAGCCTGGAAAGTCTTGAATTTTATCAAATAAATATTTCTTGAAGTCCTTCCTTGAACTCATTGTGTGGAAAAACCCTTTTGCTTATTTGTATTAGCTAACAGCTAATTTTCCTTCAACAATAACAAAACAACGGATTAATGTACGAAAGCAGCAGCACAACCTTCATGTCAAATGAGCTGTCCAGACATCTGGGGGAGGTTTTAATACTTTAACAGCAGATACACAATGATGATCAGATTTTTGTGTTAAATGCCTCCGATTCAACCATTACTTTTTACTCCCTTCAAGTTCACATTTCCCCCAGTGATGATCAAGCACAACTACACTGGTCTAGGATGAGTTTGATGCAGCTGGGATTGTTCATCTTAAAAGACAAAGATGGTGGATCTGGACTGATGGGAACCCTGTTTTAAATGAGCCATCACCCTGTACATAAGTTAAATATTTAAAATCCCTGTATTGTTTTGACTCACGAGTCATAGAAGTGACCAAATGCAGGTGTTACTATGTAAAGCAGACTTGCCTTGAGCTCACGAAGTTTGAAATATTTAACAAAAAGGCCACAGCTTTTCCATGTGGCTCTATCTAGTCTAGTACGAGTCTGCCCATAGTGTGCCTGTGGTTACTCATAGATGCCTGTTTTGCCTGTAACATCTGAATGGGCACATGTAAAGATGTAATTTTCCAACTATAAATTAAAAATGTTTTAAAAATGTGGATTTATTGAGACTGCAGCACTTTCATTTGGCCGCGGAGCGTCCTACACGAGCAGCTGATTTTTGTGCAAAGAATGAGTGAACCAGGACGATGTGATTTACAGCTGCGCTCGGACTGTTGCATCATCACGGGCATAAATGTGTTCATTTGGGGCTTCCAATAGTTGATTTAAACTCTTCTTTTGAAATTTCACAGATTCGATTATTGTTAAAAACAACTGGGAGCACAAGTGTGCATTTGTTGTAGATCAGGGGTCTGCAAGCTGCGGCTCTGGAGCCACATGCGGCTCTTTAATCACTCTGCAGCGGCTCTTTCAAGCTTTGACCTAAACTAACATAAAACTGAATTTTATTGGTCGTTATACAAACGACAACAAGACTAGTTTTAGCTGTTTTCCTGTAAATTATTTTGCAAATATGTGAATACTGGAACATGTACAAGAAGTAAAACACTTTATGCTTTATTTCTAAATACATTTTTCTACAATAAAAAAATACATAGGTCTACATAGTTCCGTTTTTATTATTTAAAATCTTCCCCACCCCCATTACAAGAATCTGTTTTTTTTGTCTTAAATGGTAAAAATTTAATTATTAGATATTTTTTAGCTTTATGTCACCCCTAAAGGCCACAAAAGCCCCCTCTAACAAACAAAGTGGGCCACCAGCAGGTTGTTGCGGCTCTGATCACTTTTAATTTAGTGAACGAAAACATAAAATGGCTCTTTTGATCATAAAGCTTGCAGACCTATTGCAGATTTTATTTAATCCAAATGTACAAGACTGATGTTGCAGCTCCTCAGACTGAAGTCTTGGATAAACGACGAAACGTTTCAATGAAGAATCCATCCAGAGGACCTGACTTAACCTTGTTAGATTTATCTACCTGGATTATTGAGCATGCATCAGGACATTTAATCCATATGCTGAAAATGATTGACTAATAAATGCATACATTCACCAAGATCTTAGGTGGTGTCTTTAGGCGGTGCAGGTTGTAGATCGTTTCAACTTTCCAAGGCCTATTCTTGTTAGTAACCATAACTGAGTGCAGCTGGTAGTTTCTCTGTTGACATGAAGGGGATTTGACAGAAGTCATGAAACATTCAAGGAAACTGGTTTGGATTTTCAGGAACCACCGAGGCTCAAACTGCTGGAGCATCAGTGGCCACAGAGAAGCCATGGACCATGAGCTGACCAAGAAAGAAGGTCCTGCTTTAAAAGTGACACCTTTAAGCTTGATGGACGAGCCAAACGTATTCTGGATTAAAGTTTCATGGCTCACGACAGACTGAGCTGTTTGACTACATTGACAAGAAATATGGAAGAGTGAAGGTGAGGCTTTCACACAATGAAGCAGTCATGGTGGTAGTATGGTGTGGGGCTATTCTGCTACCATTTGTACTGGTGTGTTGCTCAAACAGCATTCCTTGACTTCATATCAAATTATCAAGACGGTCGATCCCAGACATTAAAACAGATTTCTGAATGAACGTTAATCTGGAACAGCCCCAAACTCAACCCTCCTGAAAATGTGTGGGCCATGTCCACAATGATGCCAGATATGCATTGATTGATACAAAAAGCATGTGGCTGGGGTGCAACTTACAAAGACTAATTATTTTTAAAATTAATCTACAACTCAAACTTGTGCGCCATTATTTTTAAAACCCATTAAAGGTTGTATAATTATTCACCCTGGATGAATGGTTCAAATAACAAAAACCCACAATGAATGACACTTGCTCATATTAATATGTAGGTGATCGGCATTTTGCAGGATGTTTAAAAACGTTACCGTCCTCAGAATCACATTTAAATCACAGATTAACGTTAAGAGTCTTAACTTTCAACTTTTTAATGCAGAGTCAAAAAAGATAAGTGGGATGCTGATATACATCATACATTTATTAGTGAACAACCCTCTCAAATCAGCCACAACAATTAAAAAAAATGATTGCACTACTTGGTAAAGCGTAACTAGCAACTTTCATTTAAAAAAAGTACAAATCTTAAAAATTTCAAACAGTATACAGATGTTTATATAATACACTAACTAGTTATGTTAATGCTACAAACAATATGATTCCAATGGAATGAAACAAAATTATAACATTAATAAGAACCATTTCCTATATATAATATATATTAGTTGTTTTCTCCCCTCCCGCCCACCCACCAAATACAAACATGGGAAAAAAATGAGGTAACTGTAAATGTGCAAGTACCAAAGCAAAATATCTGCCTAACACAGAACACATGCCCCTGGCTCTGGTGGTGGGTGGGTAGTCTGGTGTTCAGGCATGGACCCCTGCAGACCAAGGAGAGGTTAAGAACAGTAAACCACTATCCCACCACGGCGGAAAGAAAACAAAAAAACAATTAAATCATTGGTAAACAATAAAATGGCGTCTACAGAGCAATTGATCACAAATCCTAAATAAGCCTTTAGCTGCTTATTGGAAAACATTTTTTGCACCACACAAGCCGTGAGATTATTCATTAACTCGTCAACAGAAAGACTACAAGACTCTTATTAAATCTCAAGTTGTCATTAAAAATTAGCTCATTACCTAGGCCTTAATGGGAGGTTTTCTTTTTGTTTTATATGGTTGCTGGATACGGTCAATTAAATATTTATCTCATAAAGAATAGTGCTAACATTACCATGAGTTAAAATATCTATATGTGAACAATACATTAAGATATTCATACACTGAGAGCAAGAGCCTGATAGGCAGATACATTACACTGAAATAAGTATGACAACACTTTAATTCTTTTTAAAACCCCCTTAAACTATATTAATTTTCACTGACATTGTTTAGGGGTGTTGGTTCAACATGCTTTAAGAATACATGGGTCCATGACAAACTATTGCATTCACGCGCGTGACTTTTCATACCTAAAAGCAGAACATCTAGCACCTTTTCACTATGGCTTTTGATAAGACTACAGTAGTTTCGGAGCGTGTACTTTTTCAGTCGTTAGGGCAATAACAGTAACACAACGTATGTAAGAATTCCTTTTCTCAAGACCAATATTTTTTCTTCTTCTCCTTTTATAAAATGAAGTTAGCGCATAAAATCTTGTAGTCATTCAGTTCTATTACAAATGTGTGCAGTACAATGCATGGCAGTTATCAGCTGAGCATCAGGATCCAAACTCCCAGAACCCAAAGCCAACTAGAGCTTCAAATAAAATTAAATTAAGTCAGTCGGGATCTGGTTAACAAGCATGCATATTGTGCACCATTAAATAGGTCCCCACCAAATTTTTGGATAATCCTCCACTAAAACACGTTTTGTTTAAATTTTTTTTTTAACTTTTTTTTTTAAAGTCATGCAAACACCTCTGAAGTCGATTTAGGACTATTGCACTATTCTACCTAATTCAGGTAGAATAGTGCGCGCTCGGGCACAATTAGATATGGGTTCACAACTGCTATGTCTGAACATATGGTTTGATTACAACAAAGGTCAAACAGGTTTGAATAATACATTGTAACGAGTTCTCTTCTTTTCAGTGAATATTGGTAACATACTTGTTGATCTTTTCTTGCATGCCTGTCTTTATATGGTGTAATATTTCAGACGAAACAGAATAATATAATTGATTACATTAAATCATTTATGGTCTAAGAAAACTGACCAAACTAAATTCAGATATACCCTTTTCATGGCATCCTTTCCATTTGAAATGGACTGGTCATCTTTATTTTTATATACCGAGAGGCCCTGAGTGATTTTTTTTTTTTTTAAACATACAATATATGCCAGCAAATAGATATGTACACATAGGTTAATTCTCAAAGCTGTGGGTTTAACTCATTAAATGGCTTTTTTTTTTCTCTTGAAGGTGGCACACGTCAAAGACACACATTCACTTAAGAAACAAAAGTTAAAGAAAAGGCAAAGGAACCCTTCACGCGTCAAAGCAAAGGTTACAACTGCCTGTTAGTGCTTACTGGGGCAGTTAAGAAAAAAATACCAAAGCAAAAGTTCATTTGTTGCTTTTTTTTCTTTCCCACCCCGAGTATATCCTGGTTTTTTTGTTTTGTAGTGTAACACAAGCAGGGGCCGAGAAGTCTCATCAGTGTTTCCGTACGACTGAACGCTCCCGCTGCGTGAAGACAGACAGCAGGTGTTAACGTGGAGCGTCACCAGTGACTTCTACAAGAGTTTTCAACATTCTTTTGTCTTCAAACTTTTTTTTCTTCTTCTTAAAATCATTCACACTGAAGCTAAACACACAGTTGTTTTTGTTTTCTTCTTATTATTTTTTTAAACACCATTACCCTAAAAACGACCTGACAAAGTTACCGGATCAAAAACACAACCTGCCCAAACATTGTTAGTGCTTCAACGGTTTCCTTCAACGGACTTTTCTCAAGAATAAAACCAATAAATAAAGTTTTTTTTTTTTTTTTTAACTGTTCAAAGAAAGTTGAAATGACAAAGGATTAGTAACAGATTTGTGCTTGTCAACGTCATAAAAAGGCAGATTTGAAATCTTTAACAGTAGGCTATATATGTGTAACGGATTTGGCTCACAAAGAAATAAAAAGCCCAAGTCTTCCTAAAAGGGGAAGAAAAAGTTTACAACTCACCGCTCGCTGCACGTATTGCTTTCTGCACAGAGCTCTACAGCATCAGTAAAGCCGAGAGTAACCACGTGCTTTTTTTTTTTTTTTCCTTTTCTCCCCTCACGGTGCTTTTTGGGTGAGCAAGCAGTTCTTTTTAGTATTTTTCTACGCTTCTTTTCCTAAAAGTGGATCATTTTGGTGGTGACGCTTGATTAAAATATTGCTAGTCAGAATCAACAGTTCATGCAAATCCTAGCATGCTGCCCTGTATCCAGTGGTTACACAAAATGCATTGGCTCTGTGAACAGGACAAACGCACGCGCGCGCACACACACACAATATTCATACACACGCACACTTGCCGGAGAAACAATGCTGACGTGGAGGGTGTAGCACTTGTGCAGTTATGGCAGATGACCCCAAAAGGACGCAGTCCATCAATCCATCCCTGCTTCGGGACACATCTGCGTTCCAGAGTGGATTGTGAGGGTGAGAAGAAACCCTGCAGCTGCGTGTGCCGTCACTTGCAGTCCATGACCTCAGGCTGAACAGAATCTGCATGTGACCATCGCATGTCACACTTTCACAATAGCATTGGCAAAGTCGAAAACAAATAAGGTGTTAAAAAAAGAATCAGTACATTATTGCAGAACATACATTATTAACAAGTCACTTTGCCCAACAACTACACAAACATGCATCTCTGATGGTTAAGCGTCTCCGAACACAGATAACCCACGCGAAACAACTCCTAATATCTTTTTGTTTTCTGCTAATTGCACAAGGTGTCCAGCCTAACATCCTCCGGGTTTCCAGCTCATCTCCTCCAATGCAGGACTTCCCCCCCTTTTTTTTTTTTGTGAACACCGCACCGAATCCACAAAATAAAAAGGAAACCCTGTAAACAAAAGCAGCAAATAATGCATTGTAGGGAAAAATCTTTGGAATCTGCAACACGAGGGCAGAGAAAGAACTGGCTGGCGACCCCAGAACTCCGGCTATAGGCTGCAGTAGGCAGTGGGTTTCATGACACTCGAACAATGAAGCACAGCAGAGGTACAACACGCTCCAGAAACAATCCTGAACCGCCTTTTTTATTTATCGTCTTGACAGAGACAGGAGCGTTGGGTCGTGAAGCTATATTTACTGGAGGATGCAGGTTAAGTGGCAGGTGTCCCCAGCGTTGAGACAGACTCTGGTGTGTGCAGCGTTCCAGTTCAGCACTCAGAGACCGTTTTCACTCCACCTCCCGGTGAACATCCGAGGCGTCGGCTCGGCAGATCGGACAAGTGCGATTGGTCTGGATGTTGAGGAGAAAAAACACATTTAAACATAACGCTTCTGTATTTTCATGTGTTTAACTCTTGACGTGTAAATGCACAAAGAAACAACTTACCTTTAACCATTTATCCACACATTTGGCGTGGAATTCGTGGTTACAAGGTAATACTCGAAGTAGCTGCCTACACTCAAAGTCACTAAAGCACACGACACACCTGTGGGGAGGGAACCAAATGTAAATACTCCACTTAATGTTTTGAAAAACATTGTGTTCTGTCAGAAGGAGACTCACAGCGTTTGTTCAGACAGGTGATTTTTTGAGTTGAATCTATAGGACGGAAGTAACTCTATATCTGCTTTTGTGAGTCCGCGTGGTTTTGCTTCACCCAACCTCTCTGCCAAGTTCAGTAATGCCTTAAGAAAACAGATAGATACATTTAGTGTCTGGGAACATTTGTTTACAGAGAAAATAATCAAGTGAGCAAAGAACGATGCCTACAATAAAACCGTGTTTAGACCCTTTTCAAATTACAACATCTATAAGCTCAAGTTTATGACTATATTTGAGCTGTTTTCAAGAGAAGCTCACCGGGTGAGGGCATGTGTCCTTACTGATCGCTCTGAGTGCAGCTGTGAACTCAGTGAGATTTGATCATCGTGCTACGGTGTGATCTGGATTGTGTACGGTCTCGTTCTCTTAGCAAAGCAAATGTGGCCTGCAGTGTTGGAAGGAGCACCTGGGCGAGTGCTGTGTGAGGATTATGTAAGCAGAAGTTCTGCTGGGATTTTATTTTTGCTGCCCCGGTGTCAAAAAAACATTCCAGGCACTGAAAATCTGCATCTTATGGATTTTTGACGAGCTGGCAAACGAACTAGTTCTGAGCTGCCATGGCCATCTCAGACATGTATGTACACAGCTCGTGTGGTGTGACCCGGTTTACTTCTGTTTGGATCATCCAAAGGACATATCAGTACCAGGTTTATACTGAGCTTAAAACACCTTTGCTTTGCTGTCAGTATAAATATATATAAAAAAAAAAAAAAAAAAAAAATATATATATATATATAAATATATATATATATATGTATATATTAAATGGCCAAGTTGGGGCTTTCCACACTAACTTCATAGTTCTCCATCTCCACATCATCCACATCCAGGTCTAAGCTGATGGCTGGACCCACAGCTGTTGGAGGCACAGGAAGCATTGACCTGAAGAGGAAAAAGAAGGCATCATCTCTGGTGCACACGCAGCTTATGACAGCTTCAATGGCTCAGTTTAATATAAACAAAGATCACTGTCCTGAATTGACACCATAGAAACAGGATAAACAAAACTGTTTAATGTAATACAGTAGTCCCTCGCTACTTCGCGGTTTATCAACGCAAGATTGTACACCACACACGATTTTCAACTTTAATATTACTCATGCGACTGCGACGGTATGGGACAAAAAGTTAATGAAAAACACTTTGGCGCCGCAATTTTGTAGTTTTCCTTGAATAAGCCTACACTGTAACACAAGTCAAAAGAACTACACTACCCAGAAGCCAACAGTGCTTCCGGCCGCTGCTTTCTGCCAAAATGGAGAGAAAGTTTTTGCAACTCAAAGTCAGAAATAACGATCTATTTGTTCAGCTCACAGAACTGGAAGGAAAGTAGCAAATAATCCAGAAGCTCAATTATCCACACACATCAACCTGGACGGGGTGGTGGGCTTCATCGCTGCAGGGTAGGTCTGCAGAACCGGAATCGAGCCCGATTGGAACAGAGCTGCTGGTCTGCAGAGCTGGTGAGTAAAAATTTGCAGTACTGTACAGTACATATAAATATGTTGTTAAAATTATGTAGGTTTAAGAGTTTAGAACATTGTTAAGAAGATTGCAAGAGAGTGGGAAGGGTTTTTAAAGCCTTAAAATATAGCGTTCTTCGTGGCTTTTCATCTATCGCGGTGGTGTGTGTAACGTAACCCGTGCAACAAGTGAGGGACTACTGTAATTACCAACTTTACTAAGCAGCAGTGCTCTGACACACAGTTTTATGGTCAACCATGACAGTCAGGTACATTTTTCACTCTAAAGCAAATTAAAATGTGGCATGGGATCATGGGGCTTACGAATAAAAAAGCTGCAGTAAAATTCCAAGTTTTATAGCATCAAAGGGAGAGAAGCCACGATTGAGTTTTGTTATCCAACTGATGAAAACAATAGAATGATGAATGTAATTTCTGGGATTTAGACTTCAGGTAAGTAAATGAAGACAATGTAAAACCTGCAGCTGATCAGCCGAATGCCACGTTTTCAGTACCAAGAAACCAGCTAAAACAACGTTTAACAAAATCAAACCAATACGGCAGATAAACGTCCAGCTGGTCTGTTCAAGATAACCAGCAGCCTCGAGTCATAGGAAACCACAGTAGGTATAGGAACAATAGTCACATCAAAACATATGACTAAAAAGAAGATATTTAAAGTGATAAATCAGAAACAAATGTTATCCGTGTCTAGCAGCTAGTTTTTTCTTTTGTTAAGCCTAAAAGAGTAGCTAAATCTCATGGTACGAAACTCACGACATTAAAATGTCGCAGGAGTTCATGTCCAGATGAAAACAGCCCTGCAAAGCACTATCAAGTTGGAGTCAGCATGACGTCATCTAATGAAAGTAGTGCTGAAGCGTCTCCACCACTTTAATACTTTTACGTGGCAGCGGTTAAGACAAAAATGTCAGTAAAAAGGACCAGAGTGTATTGTGAGAACAGCTCCCCCTGTCCCTCCTACTGCATGTCTCATGACACCTTTAGTCCATATATGTAGCAAAATATACTCAGAATATTCTGTGTCTTTATGCGATTGCCTAATACTCGTACTCTAAAAACAAGGTCCTATCATTTCAAGTACTTACAAGAAATAAGGGAGGAAGCCTGGGTAGTAAGATGGAGGAGGAGGAGGGGGGAGAGGCTGCTGCAGCCGAAACCTCTGTCCATTCATTCGCCGCGGCAGCATGTGTGGATATGGCTGAGAGAAGAAAAAAACCTGGATCAAGACATACATCAAACCTGAAGCTACGATCGTCAACCCATTATCATAAAACCTACAGCAAGTGAAGTAAGTTTGTGAACAGGAACAAAGGAGTACTTTTTTACAGTAACGCGATGCAATCTTGGAAACAAATTGTACATTTAAAAGTATATATATATTTTTATATACCATTTTTATGCTTTCTGAAATAAACCATTTCGCTTAGCATTATCCAAGGGGGATGCCCCTCTCCCCCAGTGGCACCACTCGCACCCCATGGAGGTTGTAGCCTGTAATAAATTAAACGCCTGCATGTGTTTGCACGTTATAGATGTACTGTGGCCAGGGGAGACGTCAAATCTGACACATCATCAACCATTCACCTTGTGCCACGCACTTCCTGGGACTTTTACTTTTTGGACAGTAAGATAGAGTGATAGGTTAAAACGTTTCCATCAACCATCCTCGGTCCAACTACCAGCGGTTGGTGATATATTAGCACCTGTGATTTTAAGTGGGGACGGGCAATCTCAACTGTACAACTGTAGAAGCCAGCTGTTTGTGGTCAAATAGAAAACAAAGTCACAAATTACTTTTTTTTTTTTTTAAACAAGAAATTACCTCAACTTTAGACAATTAATAAAACAAGATGTGAGCAGTCAGCTCTGGGCTGAACTAAAAGATCCAGACAAACTTATCGCACCAAGAACTAGGGCTTTAACAGACTACTCGACTAATCGACACATCGATTCCTAGGACATCTATCGAGTTTTTAAATTTCACGTTGAGTATTCATAGTGACGTCATTATGTCGCAGTTATGTCACGTGTTCCGCACAGAGCGCAGGCTAGCTAGTAGAAGCTACAAAATGGATTCCTCCATGCGGACAGATGGCGCGGATCAGACCCAGCCTTGGCAAAAAGGTAAAAATGCATCAATAGTGTGGAAATATTTCACTAAAGATGAATCCTGTGGTTCAACTACCGTATGCAAAATCTGCAAAGCTGTGCTGTGCAAAATTCTGTGACCACCGTATATTGTGACCGTAGGGGGCGGTGTTGCATGCACTGTTGCAGGTCACAGAATATGGTGCAACACCGGGTCCAATGACCAAACCAGAACCAGCTTCCTCTGACCTTGTTTCACAAACAAAAAGCAAAAAATATGAATCTCTAAACCTATTTAAAAAACATATAAACATATTAATCTGTAAAACTAAACCTAATGCGCAACACCGCGGGCGGAGGTGCGAGGTGGTCGTTCGCCCCACTGTTTTTAGTTTCGTTTTTTATGTGCCGCACGTTATTTTTTTCACTTTTGCAGCTTAATAATTAATAGTTTTGGTTTTCCTGTGACTTATTTGCAGTATGATAAATGATAGGAGCATAATATACTCAATGTTTTGTTGGTCTTTTTTTTGGTGTAAATAATAAATGACCCAACATTTTTCAGTCAGGTCATCTGGACAGTTTCTTTTTTTTTGTGCTGAAACGTTTCGCCTTCGATCCAGAAGGCTTCATCAGTCAAGGAAACACAACAAAACTGATTCTTCCCCCAACCGCTTACTCCAAAGTGGAACAAACCAGTTCTGCTTGTGATAAGATGGTCTCTTTGGTACGCCCCCTCCTCCATTCCTGGCCCTCTTCCTTGTTGACAGTCTTGTCAAATAATAAATTACATTTTTTTGCGGTTTTATTTATTTTTTTTGCATCTTGAGATCCTACGACATCGTCAACTACTTGAGTTCTACTCGAGTTTTATTATGTTAATGTCGAGTTTTAAAATTATGTAGTCGTTCAACCCCTACCAAGAACAGATAAGTGGTGAACTTCGACATGTCCTTTTAGGCCTGACAAGCAATATTTTTGAAAGCTGGAACCTGCAGGGAAAATATCTTCAAACAACTTTTTTCCTGACAAACTGCATTCACATTCATCTCTGCAGTTTAGACGTCTTACGAAATTTGTTCAAAGTAAAAAAAAGGCCTGTATAGTAACCATTATTAACTTTTGTTCTTTTGCGTCACCATCATCTTGAACTTTACATTTAAGATCTTATTGATTACCAATCTATCTGTTTTAATATTTCAAAATATATCGCAATTAACAATTTTTAAGAAACAAGAAAAACTTTTTTACTCTTTAGAATTGGAGAAACGGCAAAATGTCACTGCTCAACCACTCACGTTAGCACCACAAGAAAAGATTCTTCGATGTATTACAGCCAAGTTAAACCGTCAAACTGTCCACAAACAAACATTTAGTCAACTTGAGTTTTTGCTCAGTCAGTTCCCCTCAGATCTGTGCAGCCTCTAAGCACAACAACACTCCTGCTTCAGAAACAGCTGCTGAGGTGCCTTTAAGCAACTTCTCTCCATCCTCACTGCACCGGTCCAGCAGCTCAGAGGTTAGCACAATGAGATTGTGAACGTTATTAACATCCTTCAGCTGTGAATTTGTGTCACCGAATGAGTATGAAATAGGTCACGCTAAAAAAAGTTTAATGTCCCCATGGAAAAGAGACCCATAAATGTCTGACAAGAGATCTTACCACTCCGAAAGGAAGCTCCTGATGCAGAGGCTCTTGAGGAAGATACTGTAGGGGCAGTGAAGGAGGCAGCGCTGGTGGGTGATGTGAAGGAGGGTAGGTGAAAGTGCCTAATGGGTGCTGGTCTCCTCTTAGGTCAACATCATTCTCTACCCTCTGTAGAGGCTGGCAAAGGAGAGGAGATCATTGTCGGACTCAGTAGATGCTTACACACTGATGAACGATTTGTTACAACACCCTCAAGTCTGTTTTCTTTAACAATAAATGTGTCGAGTCATAAACTCACCATGCGTGGGTGCTGAGGCTGTAAAGGGACAAACTGGCTCAAAGGAGCAAGGTGCGGCGGCTGGTGGGGGGGGACAGATGGGGTCGGGTGCAATACAAAATGCTCGCTGGAGATCAGCGGTGGGAAGGCTTGATAAGACACAGGAATATGCTGCATGGTACATGCCTGTATGAGCTGAGGAGAAAAGATAGCCACACAAAAACAGTCTTAAATTTAAGCTCATAAAGCCTCACCATACTAAAAAAGCTCCTACCTAACCAAAGCCAATTTTCTCTTAATATTCATAGCACCAAAATGAAAACATGTTGTAAGCATGATAGTGAGTAGAAGCGATGCACTGCAAAAACCACACCAATGACAGTACTATCACAACACCAGTTCAATTCATAAAATAACTGTTTTGACGACACCAAACTACAGATTTCGTGAGGAAACAAGGAAAAACAATTCATTTTATCTTGTTTAGCATTGTTAATTTTTCTGCAAAGAAAACAGCTGAATTATAAAGATCAAGCTCTTTTGAGTATTTTGTCATGAACAGTGACAAATTGCATGGCTGCTATGGTGTGCTACATGGAAGCCACTGACATTTAGGCTCTTCCTTTTCAAACTCACAGGAGGAGGAAGGCAGCAGAGCAGAGAGAGCTGTCCGCTGAACATTACCGAGCATGCTGGGAGCTGCTGAGCGCTGCACCCTGGAAGGGGCTGCCCGGTGTGAATGGGAAATCCGTGGGTCGTCACAGTTGTAACAGTGTACGAGATCGGAACCGATCCCTGGTGCATCTTTCAAGACAAGAAGGGGGTGGGTTGCAAATATGAGGTCAATCCACCTCTGCCTCTCACAGAAACAAGTCAGCTAAAATACACTAATGCACATTATTACATTTCTTATTGTTGTGGAACACGTGAAACTAAACAACACAGCAAAAGCATCTTTTAAAAAGTGGTTTCAACATTTAAGGGTACCTGATCATGTAGATCCACCATGATGGGGCTCTGCTGGGGCAGGTGGGCAGCAGGGTGGAGCATGCGTGGTGCTGTGCTGGTGTGGCTGTACTGTCTCGACTCATCTAAAGGAATCTGTTGGGGGTGTTGGGAGAAAAGCAGCTGATGGAAGTTCTCATCCTGGACAGGGGAACTGTGCAGTACAGGTCTGTCTCGTCCCCCCCACTGGCGTCTCACTGGTGGACTGTGAGGGCAGATAGACAAAAAAGGAAGGAAAATAACTGTCAGAGTCTGTTAGAAGAAAAAGCCACACAAGTCTAAAATGGTATGTTAGTTCCCAATGTTTAATTGAAACAGTGGAGTTGTTGCTGCTAACCATAGAGCACCAATAAATACAAATTAGGCAGGATATATTTTCATGTATTTGTAAATAAATAAAGGTTATGTGATTATGATGAGCAGCTAGTGGGGTGACTACAGAATGTCTTGTGGATTGTTGTGAAGATGAACTGCATACTGCCTGAGATTAAATAAATAACTACTGCCCAAACTTTCCTGCTCCACTGAACCACTGAGTCATTTCATCCTGTCACTCTATCAAGCTTATTATCATTGTGAAGTCAGGGTTTAAAAAGGGATGCGTATTTTGAAATGGTTATTACATTTTCACATAAAAATAGCCATAAAGTCGATTTCATTGTTGGGCGTTGCAATTGTGTGTATTGAAATTATCAATGCAAAGCTTCAATACCTCTCTGTTATGGGATATATTTCTATACAGATAAACACACTTATAACTAATTTGTTATAAGTTCACCCAAGTCTGTGGAAAGGACTGATTTCACTCCATTAATCATTCTATCAAACCATGTGATCAAATCTGTAACATAAAAGCACAGAGTTGTATTCTGACCTGCAAGTTGACTGACTATCAGTACATTTCATGTTATTTACAATTAATTAATTTATATCATGTTTAACAAAATGTGCATCTTGGCAACCTGAATCTAAGTAACCTTGTATAAAAAAAAGTTGTTTGTAAAAAATAAAACAGTGGCTAATGGACAAACAGGAATGTTACCTTCTCCTGAGATGCACTGGAGCGTTGCAGGGCTCTCCAAGGAACCTCCTCAGGTTTAAGGGGGCTGTTGGTGGCAGCCTATTTACTGCTATTTCCCATGGTCGCATTGGTGACGTCGTGCAGACGAGTCACGCTCCGGGAGAGGAAACTTTATTGTGGAGGCACTTGGAAGTTGCCTCTGATTGTCTTTACCCTGCAAACACACACCACAAATTACCAGTCATCAACTGTTTACTCTGGAAAATTATGGGGTAAACATGTGTGTTTTTTTCCCCATTAGCTAAAAATATATATTCAAAATACATGTTTGTCCACAAGAAATAATAATAAACAAAAGTTTACGTTGCCAATTATAATCTTAGGAGCCACAAATTGTATCACAAAGGGGGAAAACATTTTTTTTTTGTAAGTAAGCATGGTGTTCATTAGAGTTAAACAGTAGTTGTCCAATATTTCTAAATATCATTCTTTATTCAACAGGACCCCACACTTAAGAAGTAAAATGTAGTTTCTGCAGAAGGACATATTTTAAATGTAATAACGTTTCATTTGAATTATAAAAACAGGAAAAAAGCTGCATTTTTTTCTTTGCAATAGCTTTTATTAGGGGGAGGAATCAACCTGGTCTTTTGTGGCAGAAGGTTTTACAGTCCTCTTTAATCCTCACAAGCCTGGGGCATCTACAAATCAGACAATCTTTCTACAGACAGAAAGCAGAATTTCTTTGTGATGGTCTAACAAGAGGTTCTATCTGGCTAACAAAAATTACAATTATTCCTTAAAAATGCAGTTTTCTTTTAATTCAGGCAAGTTTTGCTATATGGAAGTTTGTGTGTCTACGTTTTGCATTTCTGATTGTGTAGCTTCCTTTTTTTTTTTTAGAAAAAGGCAAAAGAAACAGGACACAGTTTTTGAATATTTGAAATATGCTATAACTTTGTTTAATTCAATACAAACATTCCGATTAGGTAAATTTACTGATATGTTTGAGGCAATGTGAATATAAAAATCGAAGAGTTGTGACCAGGGAAAATACTTGAGCTACTTTATTTTACTAAAGCGAGTGCACATTTATTTTATTCCACCAATCAGGATTTATCCTGATGCATGCTCAATAATCCAGGTAGAAAAATCTAAAAAAGTTAAATCTGGTCCTCTGGACATTCAAAAAAACAAAACAAAGCAAATCAACAACAGCCTCTTTTTTTTGTTGTTGTTTTGCTTTGTTTTGTTTTTTTGAATGTCCAGAGGACCAGATTTAACTTTTTTAGACAATCAGGATTTAGTTTTACTGACTTAATGTACAGTTCTTATAAATTATTAGCATGAAGCATAAGAGGTCATAAATACCAACTGAGGGAAATAGTTGGACTGATGCCTGCACTCAACTGGAGTGTCAAAAACAATCAAACTGTGAAACCAACATTTTATCTAGTGATAAAAACGGTGTGAGAGTCTTCAACAGACTTGAGCACACTGGTGATTAAGACAGGTTAAGAAAAGCCACTTAATGAATAGGGGTCGCTGTGGCCTGTGTGAACAAAAACATGGGAAGCCATGTGCTCCAGAGACAAAGCAACAACAAAAGACTTGGAAGGCAAGCAGGACAGCTGGATTTAATGCTGTTTTAAAGAGCATATGCAACATTAAGCTACTTTTTACAAGGCGGGGCGAAACCTCGCATGTATCGTAGATAAAAAGGAAGACAACAATAAGCTTTAGGTGTCTAACCAGTGCAAATGTGATGTCCCCTGCTCTGTTGAAGGAGAGCTGCTAACTTTAGCAGAGATATGCTAATGCTTTGTCCAACACGACCAGCATGATAATACAAGAATAAGACATGCAGGCATCTTTCGTTGCACATATTTAACTAGTACGGACAGGAAGCAACACTGGAAAGGTGAAACCGTAAGTCAGGAAGCAACACAACACACCTTTACTTTCTTTGCTAGTTTTTGCTTCCTCGGAAAGACTGCAGGTGTTTTCACCTCCAAAATGTCGTGTCACATCCAAGTTATTCTTCTGGGTTATATAACCGTCTCTATCCGAATAGCATCTTCCGACAGGAGATTGGTAAAAAGAAAAAAAAAGAGAAAAAAACAGGATATCGACTTGAGCACCGCTGTGTCCGACTCGTTTTGAACAATAATAATATCCCCCCGACGAAGCTAGCTTGCTAACGTTGGCCAGCTAACACACGCTCTCGGCTGCTGCATAGGGTAAACGGTGTTTTCCGGAAACCGCAAAAACCCGAGCTGTGCGTTGACGACAGCGTCTACCTGAGCGGAAAATACAGTTAAACGTGCGGCAAAATAAACGTTAAAATTCCCACGAGAAAAAAAAACATTCCTTGGCGCGTGTGTGTTTCTTCAAATGCATTGTTTTGGCAAAGCCACGCCTCCTTGCGTGAGCGACCAATCAGCGCCCAGCAAACACAGACAGCAGACATCCAGACAGTTGGCCTACAATGTGTCAAAACAAGCCAACACAAAGCTCACAGCAAGGCTAGGTCTCCTAAAAGTCAACTTTAGTAGTCATTCAACTACTAAAGGTCTGTTTATAATGTAATTATATAACACTCGTTTTGGAATTATACAATATTTAAATACATTTTGCCCAGTTTGTCAGAAAAATGTTGTGAATTTCTTCCAGTACTGTAAAATACACAATTATATTTGTTTTAACGCTTAGCTCATCTTTGCAATTTTCTCACCTACATCTAACCCATTAGCAATTAACGCACATAAATGGGAGTAAAGGCTATGATATTACAAGCAGAACTGTTAAGATACTTTTAGTATACGGCTTATTATTTGTCGTAAATCCTAGACAATCCAAACATTTTAAGGGTAGAGCATTTGTTTACATAAGGACATTGGTGTGATATTTAGTTTTTTGAGCATTGCATTAAAGACACTTATTGTAAACTATAAAATCAAACAACAACAGAAGATTATCCTGAACTATATCAAATGGTGTAGTTTGAAAGAGTTTACTTCAGATGTTGTTTTTCTCTCTTATTCCAGGGTCACTACTGCAAGCGAACTTCACTCAAAAGATTTGTCAACCTTGTTACTCCGGTCCGGATGCCTTTTCTGACGTAACTTGGGCTCAAACCTGCAACCTCAGGATTGCAAGGCTACGGCACTAACCACCGAGCTGCCGCAGCCCCCAAGGTGTATACTCAAATAGCTTTCCAGATATATTAATATGCATTTCTGAAATGCAGGTATGCACTCAATGTAAACAAAGCACTCAGCTGACTCCACTTCTCTGCATACTTTATCCAACACAGTTGAGTGTAAATACAACAGCTCTTTCATGGGCGTCACCAATTTATTAACCCATTTTCAGTCACTTTTGCTGTTTAAATAATGTAAACAAACACACTTGGTAGTTAGAAGCCTTTCACAAAATTTGCACATTTTTGGATTGAGATGCACCTTAACAACTGATATGAGAAAGAACTTGTACAGACTTTCTTTATTAAGAAAATAAATAAATAAATAACCCAGCAGTTGCCAGATAGAAGTAATCCCATCCATCTCACTGAGCTGTTATGGTTTTATTTAGCAGAGCACAGTGAGGAGGCCACAGTGTCCCAGCTGGTTATGTAATGTTGCACTCTCATGTCAGAAGCACCCTCCAGCATCCATCAGGGGAAAAAACTCGCACCTGTAGTTTAATACTTCAGATATGATGGTCTTCAACGCTAAACTCGGCCATGATGCACGAGGCCGAGTTCATCTTCTGGACTTTACCATCTTGTGAAATTTTCGGGACGCACATCTGGTGTCGCGAACGCGGCGCCGAGCCGGTGGTCATTTGAACGCACCATCGCGCTAAATGTAAACATTACAGCATCGCTGTCAGCAGCAGCAGCAAAACAAGGAGGGGCTGCAGGATGGCAGCACCAACAGCGCCTCCCGGGAACACGCTGCGCAACCTTTTCCAAACACACCCGAGAAAAGAACAGAAAAGCAGCGCAGTTACCTGATTGTTAATATGCAACCATCGGATCAATGTTTCTCGTGCAATGTTCACATGTCGTCAGGCTACGTGCGGCATCTTCAGCTCAGCTGTTCCCGTGTGGAGCATTCCGTGGATTTCACCACCACCGTGCGTGTGCGGGACACAAAAGCTACCAATCCTCAGTGTGTCACTTCATCAGCGCATCTTCATGTGCTGTGCGGAATTATGGCTTCCAAACTCCAGAGATCGTGTCCTTTAACGCAACATGTTAGTCCAGGAAGCGGCAATCCAGCCCTGCGGATGTTTCGGGTTTCTGCAGTTCTCCTTTTTCCACTTCGCTTTCCGCCGTATTTACACGGACACAGAGAGCACGTCGGGCAGCCATTTTTACCGTAATGGACAGAAAAAGTGCTCCAGGCTGACTGAAAAAGTTCAAACAGATAAGGGCGTACACAACATCCTGTTTAAAACACCGCCAGAGCCGAGTTAGTTTTCTGTTTTGCATGCACTTTGTTTTTAGGAAGCAGGAAATTGTTTTGACCACTGACCTACAAATGGTGACTGAGTAAAACTTGCGAAAATCCACATAAGGTTGGATGCATGCTCAATAATCCAGGTAAATAAATCTAACAAGGTTAAGTCAAATTTATTTCTAAAGCACATTTAAAACAGCAGCCGTAATCAACGCGCCTAAAAATAAGACGAAGGCAGTAAATTAAAGAAAGAAAATAATAACAATAATTAAAATCATCCAAATAAAAACATTGAGCTGCAATACTAAATCAAATCACACTGTGTTCAACGTCAGTGGAAACAGGTGTGTTTTTAGGAAAGCTTTAAAAACAGGAAGTGAATCAAGTGTGGCACATGGGTGTGATTATCTTTGAAAAATGGAGAATTTTAAGTCTTTAGTCAGTTTGCAATGAGTGAAGAAAACCAACAAGGCCACCTGGGATTATACTCCAGGAAATCTAAATAGGGCAGCACGGTGGCGCAACTGGTAGAGCTGCTGCCTCTCAGCGAGCAGGTCCTTGGTTCAAACCCCGGTCCAGGGGCCTTTCTGGGTGGAGTTTGCATGTTCTCTCCGTGCATGCGTGGGTTTTCTCCGGGTACTCCGGTTTCCTCCCACAGACCAAAAACATGCATGTTAGGCTGATTGGTAACTCTAAATTGTCCCTAGGTGTGAGTGAGAGAGTGAATGTTTGTTTGTCTCGTTTGTCTCTATGTGGCCCTGTGATGGACTTGCGACCCGTCCAGGGTGTACCCCGCCCCTCGCACAGTGATTGCTGGACATGGGCACCAGCGACCCCCGTGACCCAAAATGGAATAAGCGGGTAAAGAAAATGGATGGATGGATGAAATCTAAATAGTAAAAAGACACGTAGGTTTGTTCTACTGGAGAAAGGAGACAAGATTCAAATACATTTTACCAAATTTATTGGAGGGCAAATTGGTACAAATAAAAAAAAAAACATTTAAAAGGTATTTTGCATTTTAAAATATGCAATGCCCGAAAATTGTTAAAAGACTGTATTTCCAACTTAATTTTTTAAAACACAGCTTTGACTGAAGTTAAAAGAAACACTTTAAAATATCAGGTGAAACTGAGGTTTACTAGTGGGGGTGGGGGGGTTGCTGTGAAGACGAGGGGACCACATCCAGTGAAGAAAAGGGATCACCTAAAGCTACAAAGGGAAAAGGGGTGCTCCACACACAAAACGAGACACCGCCACCAGGGGTCACCATCGCCACTGCATGGAGCCTTCCCTGAAACAAAAAACAGCATTAATAAAACAGCAGTGTCACTATATATATATATATATATATATATATATATATATATATATATATATAAACCAGACTTTTAGTGTTGCACTCAGTTCATTAAAATACAATCAACACCTCAGCCAGAAGGGCCCGAGTTGGTTTTATATTTTTCTTTAGGCAAAACAGCAGCGAGCAGAATCCCAGCTGAATAACAGGCAGAAAGACTCATCTGGAAACTGTAAATTAGTATGTTACAGCACAACTGTATAAGAAGGTTTATGTATAAATGGGGTCATGTAGCTTCAAGCCATAAATCGGACACACAAAGGGCGAACCAGTCTTATACCCACGAGGCACAGCAGAGGAGAAGCTAAACCGAGAACGGTTATCAGCAGCGGAGGAAAACAAACGTCATGACGCACGCAGTTTACGCCAGACAGGTAGTGACATGCTTTTATACAGAAGCCACAACTGACAGTGTTAAAGTGGCAGCACACCATTTATGCTGCTACACAAGGATCAAAGTTTCTTTATTGTCATTCACAGTACATGTGGTGGAACGAAATTGTGTACACAGGGTCCCATAAATGGCCTGTTTAATGTCGAGGGGCAGATTGTTCCAGAATTTAGGACCCGTGACTGAAAAAGCCTAATCTCCTCTGAGCTTAAGCTTTGGTACAACCAAAAGCTGGTCAGATGATCTCAGTGCCTGAGAAGGAGCATGAGGTTGAAGTAGGACAGAGAGGTATGAGGGTGCAAAGCCATTAATGCACTTAAATGTCAACAGGAGACTTTTAAAATAAATTCTGATACATACATGGACCCAGTGAAGGGAGGACAAAACTGGTGAAATATGTTCAAACCTCTGAGGGTGCATTCACACTAGCCCTGTTTAGTCCGCTTTAATCGAACTCTAGCTCGTTTTCCTTGAAAGTCCGGCTCGTTTAGGGAGGTGTGAACACGCCATCGAACTCTGTCACGGAACAAAAAGGCGAACTCTGGCCCGGGCTAAAACCTAGGTCTCGGTCCGGTAGAAGCGAACTCCAGCGCAGTTCGAGTGCAGTGTGAATGTAAACAGACCGGGCCCCACTCCGCAGGGTAAACAAACACACATTTCTCTGACCTTATATGGAGCCGTCAGCTGCTTTGTGTGGAAAACAATATTCCCCATGGTCTCCTGTCTCATCTTCTGTTCATGCTAAGTCCATTTTTGAAAAATGACAAAATGTAACTCCTAAAACTGCTAAAACTTGATGCCACTTCGTTTTTATTTTTATTTACAGAAGAAGAAGATGTGTCTTCAGTGGTTTTTGTGTCGTTTCTTTCAGTAGTTCTTGGTGCAGCGCCCCCACAGGCGAGTGGGACTGCACAGTGCAGTGTGAATGCAAACTCACCAGCTCAAATGTAAACAAAAGCTCATGAATATTGGTCCCGAACCGAGTCTACTGGACTATCAGGTGTGAAAACGACCTGAGTTCCTGTTAATAGCCGAGCTGCAGGCTTGGCTATTAACTAAAGAAGGCTAGCCTTCTTCAGTCGAAGAAGTCCTTTGAATAAAAATGAAATGTTTCATAGAATAATCCGTCCCGAAGACCTGACTTAACCTTGTTAGGTTGGGTGAAATGCTGATGTAGAGATATACCTGCGTTCCTGAATGCC